AGGAAAAATACTGCATTAGATCTATAGGAACCTGAGGCTTCTCTGTATAGAAGGGACTATGTTGTCTCCAATTTAAGAGATCAGTAGTAGAGAAGGGCTGATAAATGAAGAGCCGTCCTCCCCCTTGGACTTAATTATGTGCATTTAAATAAATTTGTCCCCTTGTTTCTCGGGCATCTGCATTGCTCAGGCATGGCCCGACCTAAGGGGGCCAATCTCATCCCCCTGGAGTTCCTCCCTTGGCTTTTCAGGCAAGGGCTCTGGCTCCTCTCTGCGTGGTGTTGCCTGAGGGATGCTTTCTTCTGAGTCTGAGTCTCTGGAAGCAGCCGGGGCAGCCTCCTGTCTAAGCCTTGCCAGGGATGGATAATTGGTGTATGGGGGGTGGACTTTCTAACTCTGCAGGTGTGACCTGTAGGACAGGTATTTTTCTGCTTTTCCTGTGACTCCTTTTCTTTTTCTGATGCCTTGCAGTCTTTTTCTATGGTTCCTGGTTTTATCTGGGCCATCAGAGTCTTACAGTAGGTCTCAAAGCAGGCCTGCAGCCACTTAAGGTGTGTTTGAATTACTCTTAGCCAGGAGTCGATATATGGAACTGATCTGGGTGCCCAAGCTGTTCTCCAACCCCAGTGACTACCCAGAACACTCAGCCAATTATCTCCCTGTCTATTGTCCCTTCAGCTGGCCACCCTACATTAAAAGATGGCCAGTCTATCTCACAAAGGCTTCTCAGTTTCTGTGGAGTTAGCTTAACCCCATAATCACCATTAAAACCTTTTTAAAAGTTTCTCAGCATACAGTCCAGTGGAGTAGGCTTTGACGTTTTTCCTCCCATTTCTTCCCTCATGGCACACTTTCACTCTTGGATCCACTAGATCAGGTCCTATTATGGGAGGTTCAGACACTGCTTAGCCAGGAGCATGCCTTAATTCCTGTCACAGCTAGCTGCAGCCATAGAGCTGGTCCTATGGGTTGTATGCAGCATCCTAGGTCTGGTTTTTCCCACATTCGCCTCGGAGCACACAGTTCACACTAAGAGAGCTGTGCCTCCCCATGTCACGCCCCACGTTGGTCTTTTCTGAGACCATCTCTTTCACACACTTTCACACACATCCCCCGTCCCCGAAATGGTTTTCCTTTCTGACTGACTCTCGAGCCCCACCCGTGTCTGGTGTCAGTTAGGGCATGAGTTTTGTCCAAGTCAATGGACTTCTCCCAGTGTTCCCAACCCCCTTGGGTCAGACTAATTGTCACGCCCTGGGAGGTGATCAGGCTCCCCTTCCATCCTTATGGGAAGGGTCTTGCCTTAGGGCCCAAATCTTACCACAGTTCAGATGTCTGTGCACTGCTCCTGTGACTGTCCTGCAACCCTTTCTACTGGTTCCATTTGCACTTTCGGGGGAAGGCTCCAGAATGCAGGAGGGCCAGGCTGTTCTCCTTCCGGGCTGAAACTCTCGGTGGTACAAGGACCCCAGGTCTCCCATGTCCTGGGGCTCTAGCCCACAGGCAAAGGAGACAGAAAATCTGCCATTTCCAATCCCGGACGAGGCCCCTAGAAATGTTACAGGACAACCAAAGACTGCAGAGACTGAAAAAGGTTCAGGAGAGTTTATTAAGGTGATCACCGGCTCAGCCAGACATATGTCCAGAAAGTCTGAGTCCCAAACAAAGGGCTTTCCCTAGTTTTAAACATCTTAAGGTAGGAACTCCGTGAGGTGGGAAGCAAGTTACAGAAGTGAGAAACAAAGGCAATTAATCAAGCATTACAACATTTCTTACATCTTGAGAAAAACATGTCTTGCAACTTAAACTTACCGGTCTTGTGACCCTGCAGCCATGCTAGGGAGGTAAGCAGGGACTTACTGGGCCTGTAATAAACTTTGAGGAATGTGGAGTTGAGAAGTATAGATAAGGTCCACTGACCACAGAGAGAAGACAGGCTGTTAATATTCTCTTTTAACTTGAGTGTAACTCAAGTTAAAGTTGCAGCAACTTCAAGAGGATTTAAAAATTTCTATTACTGCTACAATTAGGTTATAGTTGATTTCATTAATTCCTTCTTCATCTTTACTATGTCTTTCCAGAGAGTGTGATGCCTTTTGAGGTCTAATAAGAGACATTCACAAGTGTTCTCTTTGAGGCCTGCTACCTGGAGGCTTCATCTACTTGAAAAGAACCTTGGTTTCTGCAACTCCCCACCCTTTACCTTAACTCAAGCTGATTTCAACTCTTCAGCCAGAGCTTAGCCCTTTCAACCAATTGCCAATCTGGAGATCTTTAAGTCCACCTATGACCTGAAAACCCAGCCCCTCCTCCTTTGAGATGTCCCAACTTTCCAGGCTGAACCAACATATAAACTTTTTTTTTTTTTTTTTTGAGACGGAGTCTCGCTCTGTCACCCAGGCTGGCGTGCCCAGGCTGGAGTGCAGTGGCATGATCTCAGCTCACTGCAACCTCCATCTCTCAGGTTCAAGCAATTTTTCTGACTGAGCCTCCTGAGCATGTATTGATTTATGTCTTTGCCTATAATGTCTTTGTCCCTAAAATGTATCAAATCAAACTGTAACCCAATCACCTTGGGCACATGTTGTCAGGACCTCCTGAAGCTGTGTCATGGGTCATGATCCTTAACCATGGCAAAATAAACCTCTAAATTAATTGAGACCTGTCTCAGATACTTTTTGGTTTACAGATTGAGATCTTAACCTGTAAGATTTGACACCATTTCCAGGTAGATAGTGTTGAACTGAAGTAGGACATGACACCCAAGCTGGTGTACACTGGAGAATTGCTTGGTGTAGTGAAAATCCCCCACACATCTAGTGTCAGAAGTGTTATTGTTAGAGTAGGTAGTCAGGCAGATATGGGCAAGGCAGGAAAGGCAAGAATGTCAGGCGACAATCAGGTGATAGCCAGGCAGTTATTAAACTGTCACTCTAAAATAATAATTGGTTGCAGTAGATGCCAGGGAAAGGCAATCTCCTAAGAGATAGAAAACACCTAAGGGTGGTGATCAGCTGCTTTCCACTAAGATCTCAGGAGTTGGACAAGTGTGCTTAAGCATGCATACAAAGTGGCAAAGTGGCAGAATTTAACTAGTATACAACTTTCCTCTAGGAACACTTGACTGGTAAGGGAAAAATGCCTCAAATGAGCATGTGCACAATGTCAGTAAAAGACACTGCACATACAGCCCCTCCCAAGTGCTGACAGGCCACTGCGCATGCAGACAGCCCACGCCAAGGAAAAATCAAAGGAGAGATACAAAACCTTGGCAGCATGCCAATGTATACAACCCCAAGTCAAAAGTCAAACAGGGCACCTGGATCTCTCAAGTTGCCTGCTTGCCCCTCTTCCTTTGGTTCCTGCTCTAAAACTTTCTAATAAACTATCACTCCTGCTCAAAAACTTGCCTCAGTCTCTCACTCTGCCTTATGATGCCTCTTGGATGAATTATTTCCTTTGAAGAGGCAAGAATCAAGTTACTGTAGATCCGTATGGATTCACCACTGCTAACATTATGTTGAGTGCTATGTGAGAGGAAAAAAACCCTTTTTTTCCCTATCTCTAATAATGAGCTTAACATCAGAATAGAAATAACGGAAGAAAAAAATCAAAGAACTGGACGCCAGAATTTACTCAACCTGAACAACAGAAAGAAACTAGAATTGGAAAAAAAGAAAAAAAAAGAACAGAGCCTCAGGGACCCGTGAAACTATCATAAAAGATCTACATGGGGACTAAAAATTTACTCCAAGAAATAATGGCTGAAAACTTCTAAAATTTGTCAAGAGACATAACTATAAAATTCAGCAATACAGAAAAAGAAATATACACTAGGACCAAGCGAGGTTTATTCCAGGGAGGCAGGGCTGGTTCAATATTAGAAGATCAGTGTCATCTATCTTATTAACAGGCTAAAGAAGAAAAACATCACATGCTTATAGTAACTGATGCAGAAAAAAACACTTGCCAAAATTCAACACCTATTAATGATAAAAATTCTCAGAAAAAAATAGAAATAGAGGAGAATTTCCTCAACTTGATAAAGGGCATCGACACAAAACCTATAGCTAATATTGTACCTAACCATGAAAGACTGAATGTTTTCCCTCTAAGATCAAAAGCAAGGCAAGGATGTCTGCTCTCATCACTTTTATTCAACATAGAGCTAGACATTCTAGCTTGTGCAATAAGGCAAGAAAAGGAAATAAAAGGCATATAGATCTAAAAGAAATAAGTAAAATCTGTTTACTTATTTACAAGTATTGTGATTACACAGAAAATCCCAAGGAATCAACAACGAAAGATTCCTAGAACTCAAAACTGACCAACAAATTCCTCTTTAAGTAAATTTAAGTTGGGTCTCTATCACGTGTAATTGAAAGAGTCCTTTATTTATTCACAAATCCATCAACTATTTATTGAATGCCTAAAATTTGCCAGTAGCTATTCCAGGCAATAGATACACCATCAAACAAAATAGTTTTTACCCTCAAGGGTGATAGTAAGAGATGTAAAAAGTTAAAAAAAAAAACAACAAAAAAAAAAGGTAAAAGAGAAAAAATCGAGAATGGTACTTTAGAAAAATGTGGTAAGGGAAGAGTTATTTAATAGGACACCTCATAAAATGAAGAATTTGGCCAGGGGGATATCTGAGGGAAGAGTTCCAATCAGTGGGAACTGTGAATTCAGAAAGCCTGAGGCTGAAACAGGCAAGTGTGTTTGAGAAAAAGCAAAGAGGCTGGTGGCTGTCCTCAGTGAGGCAGAGGAAGGGGAATGGGCTGTGGATCAGAGGACCTTGTGCCAGATTATGCAACTCCTTGCAATTCATGTAAGAACTCGGATTTTACCTGGAAAGGAAAGAGAAGCACTGAAAGAGCTGAGCAGGGGAATAAGTAACCTGATAGCGTTTATGTTTAGTCCTGCCACTTCAACAGATAAACACATCAACGTGTTTGCTGAGATTTAAGCCAACCCATAACCACCCCTCAACTTCTTTCCTTTCAATTTCAAAACTTCTCTATGGCTTCCTCCATCTGTTCTTTCCTCCTTCTGAAAAGTGCTTTCTTTGCCCCTTTACAGAACTAACCACTTCAGCAACTCTTTGGACACTTTCCTTCTTGTGAATAATTTGCTCTATCGGCCCCTCAAAAGCTTGCCGTGTATGTAAATTATTACCTGTAAGAGGAACCGCTGGGAGTCGTGCAAACTTTCATTGTAAACTTTAGCCCAGAATTTGGCTCCTCCTGCAGAATGTCTCCACCAATCAAGGAAAGTGCTTTGGGCCAGTCTTGCTCCTCCGGGTTGTCAGGCTGCTCCTCCCTCTTGTTTTGACTGCTACGAGGAAAAAGCAGATGTGAGAACTCAAGATTCAGGGCTGCTCTTCTAGGAAACAAGTCTGCCATAATCTCCAGCTGTGTTGGAATCTGTTAACTAGTGAGTACCTCATCTCCTCTCCTGTGTAAGATTTCCTGAACTGGCACGTCTGATTTTTAGCAAAGATAACAAACAGATGAACAAAACCAACAATCAAAAATGCTGTCATTAAAGTCTTGGGCAGCCAAAGTTTCTCTCAGAATTTCTCAGATGTGTGATACTATCTATTAAGTGATATTAAGCCTATTTGTATGCACACACAAAAGGCTATAAATGTAGCAGCTGAGTTTTCATATTGAGCCTTTTGGTGCTATTTGATTTTTTGAAAAAGTATGTACATGTGTTAACTTGATTTTTTAAAATTTTAATTTTAATTGAACCGGATGTGTTGGCTTACGCCTGTAATCCCAGCACTTTGGGAGGCTATGGTGGGCAGATGAAGATCACTTAAGGCCAGGAGTTCAAGACCAGCCTGGTCAACATGGTGAAACCCTATCTCTACTGAAAATAAAAAATTAGCCAGGTGTGGTGGCAGGTGCCTGTAACCCCAGCTACTTGGGAGCCTGAGGCAGGAGACTCACTTGAACCTGGGAGGTGGAGGTTGCAGTAAGCTGAGATTGCACCACTGCACTCGAGCCTGGGCGACAGAGCAAGATTCCATCTCAAAAAAAAAAAAAAAAGACCAGGTAGTGGCTGAGTTTTTCACTGTTCTGTCTGCTTAGCTCCCCACCTCGCTGGGTGACAGATCTTCTGCATCATCCAGAACATATGTAAATTACTTCTAGGAAACTTTGAGAAACACAGATGCAAACCTAAGAGCAGCCAGTTTTCTCCTTTAGGTGGTCAAGGGCAGCTGCAAAAGTTCTGTACAGGAGGGGTTTCAGGCAGGGTCTGGTTGGGGTTGGAGAGAACAGCAGTGGCTTTACCTTGCATTGAGGCTGTATATGTTAAACTACTGTTGTTACTCTTATACTTAGAGGGAGGATGTTTATGGAGATGTGGGGAGGCTAAAGCCCCCTTGGCTGTAGGGACAAAGATCTTGCATTTCAGATGAGACCTTAAATACTTTCAGAGCCCATCTGACCAGGGGTGGTACTGTCTTTCTTAGAAGAGTTTTCCTTATCAGTGTGGCTCACTATAAAAATCCGGAGTCACCCTGGAAAAGTTATCTCAGCTCTTTTACCTACAAATAATTTTATAAACCTGGGAAATAGAAGTTGCAAAATGCTAAGATCAATGAAAAGGGAGGAAAAGAACTTTGCTGAGGAGAAGGCAATCTTATGGTTTTGATGAAGAGGATGTTGATATTTGCTTTTTGGTAGAACAGAATGGTTAGGTTCATTTTAAGCTCCAAATGACTGATCAATTTTCTTTTCAACATACGTTTGAAGGATTCTGAATGTGGTATAGAGTATTGTATGGAAGCTAGGGAAGAAATCATACTAAACTCTTGATTCTATTCAGAATCAGCAAGCTAAGTATGGTATATTTATCCCCAATCATATTGATATTTACATAATTATATAATGTCTTCCTTAATAGTCTATAAGCTTCATGGGAGCAAGACCAGCTGTGTCTTGTTCACAGCTATATTTTCAGCATTTAGTACAGGTCTGGCATATAGCAAGTGTTCAATAAATATATGGGTAATGAATAAATGCATTGTCCAATTTAAATATTAGACTTGCCAGCTAATTCTGTTAAGAGGAGAGCACCCAAGAGCACAGGCTGTGACTTGCCAGCATACAACAGGGTCCAGTTTGTGTCTGTTTGTGTATACTTCCTTGTCTGTAAAGTGAAAATAATAATAAATAACTGCAAAGTGCTTAACAGTACAACCACCTGCCAGATCTCTGCAAAAATGTTACCTCCCTAGAGAGACCTTCTAAAAGGTCCCTTTTCTCCCATTACTCTCTTTGTTTTCTTGTGTAACATCACATTTATTTATTCCCTTGTTTACTGTATGTGTCCTTCCATGAGAGCAGGGAGGACCTTGTCTCTTTCATTCCCTCCTATATCCTCTATGTCTGAAATAATTCATGGCAAGTGATTAATAATTGTTGAATAAATAAATGAATCATGCCAACCTACCAAGAATGAAGCTCAAGACCTTATGATATTTGTCCAAATTCCTGCCTCTTATTTAATAGAATCAGAAATTTTTTCTAATACCTCACAACCATTTAAAAATACTATTCATTTTCACATCCAAGTAATGAAAGAATCAGGACATTCCTTTTGGAAGAAATAGTTTCAACATTTTATCTAAATTGCAAAATTATACAAAAACTCAAGTGATCATTGATAGGGGACCAGTTTAAGAAATTACAGTGCAGTTCTTCACTAGAATGTCATGCAACTGTTAAAAGAAAAAAACATGGCCAAGTGTGTTGGCTCCCACCTATGATCCTAGCGCTTTGTGAGGCTGTGTGCGTGTTTGTGTATATTTCCTTGTCTGTAAAATGGAAATAATAATAAATAACTGCAAAGTGCTTAGCAAAGGAGGATTGCTTGAGGTCAGGAGTTTGAGACCAGCCTGGGAAACATAGCGAGAGCCCATCTCTAAAAAAAATGTTTAAAACACTTAGCTGGGTGCAGTGGCACACACTTGTAATCCCAGGTACTCTGGAGGCTGAGGCAGAAGGATCGCTTCATCCCAGAAGTTCAAGGCTGCAGTGAGGTATGGTCGTGCCACTAGAGTCCAGTCTGGGTGACAGAGTGAGATCCTGTCTTCGGTGGTTGGGGGGGGGGGGGGCGGGGAAGGAAAGAGTAAATAAATAAATACTTATTTAAAAAAATAGAATGAAGATCTCTGTGCACTGGTATGGAAAGCCCTCAAAAGGTACGTTGTTAAAAATGTTTTTAGTGGGCAGAATAGTGTGTATTCTGGGCTACGTGTTGTGTAAAATTGGTGGAGAAATAAGAATCTATACTCATAATTTGCTTGAATGCACATAAAGAAATCCTGAAAAGATAAGTAGAAAGAATAATAGTGGTTTCCTGGGGGTGAGAGCAAACCAGGCAGCTTTGAGACTAGAGGTGGGAGGCAGATATTTTTTTTTTCTATGTACCTTTTATGGTTTTTTTGAGCCATTTGAAGATATTATGCGAAAAAAAATTAAAAACAGAAGGAGACAAGTAGTGTTGGTTACTTCTTCTTTCAGTTGAAGGAAACCTGCTGCTAATTCTGTTAAGAGGAGAGCACCCAAGAGCACAGGCTGTGACTTGCCAGCATACAACAGGGTCCAGTAGTTCCCTCTCTACCCAATCCCCAATGCCAAACAGAATGACGTTGTTGGACTTAAGGTCTTAACCCGCAGGGCAACTGGGATTCAGAGTGATTTTAGTTCTGTTCTTAAGAGCAGCCTTTTCTCCTAAAGTCTGCCAAGAAATTTTTGCTAATGCTTCCCGGGAACATAACAGACAAGGCCCCTGCTCTAGTAGAGCTTACATCACAGTGCAAAGATAAGCAAACTGCAGCCCATGGGCCAAATCCAGCCCTCTGCCTGTTTTTGTATAGCCTTTGTACTAAGAATGGGTTTTAAATTTTTTAATGGTTGAAAAAATAACTAAAAGAGGAACACCAATTCATGACACATGAAAATTAAATGAAATTCTAGTGTCAGTATCCATAAATAAGGTTTTATTAGAACATAGCCATGCCAAAATATATTTATGTATTGTCAATGACTGCTCTGCCAATGGCAGAGTTAAATACCTGCAGCAGAACCATATGGCCCACAAAGCCTCAAATATTTAGTGTCTGGCCCTTCACAAAAAAGTTTGCTGACCCCTTTTCTAGTAATATGCTTGGCACCATGATAAGCATTTCACATGCAGTATCCCATTCAGTCTTCAGGAGAAATCTCTGATGGAGGTTCTATTAGTCGCTCCATTGGTAAAATGTGAAACTGAGGTTCAGAGTGATTAATAATTCAAATAAGGTCACACAGTTCGTAAGTGGCAAAACTGGGAGACCATATCACATGACTATATGACTCAGTAGCCAATGTATTTAACCATCATGCTATAGACCAGTGCTTTTCACACTTGAATGTACATACCAGTCACCTGGGATCTTGTCAACGTCTACCAATTCAGCAGATCTAGAGTGGGGCCTGAGAATGTGCATTTCTAACAGTCTTCTAGGTGATAATGATGATGATGCTGGTTCACAAATCACAGCCTCTAAATCAGTGATTCTCAACCATGGCTGCTGCACATTAAAATCTGAGGACATTTTAAAAAATATAAATGGTCCCAGAGCCCACTCTCAAATATTCTCATTTAATTGATCCAAGACCTAGGCATCAGAGTATTTTTTTTTTAATGCTTTCTTGGTGATTCAAATGTACAGCGGGACTGCGAACCACTGCTCTGTTGAAATCCTGTTGAATGATAGTAGAAACATTCAAATGGGAATCCAAAGACCAGAGTTCTAGTTCTAACTCTGGTATGACAGAATAAAGCAGGCTGTTTCCCCTCTCTGGGTCTCCAGTTTTCTTTGCAGGTGAAAAAGGAAAAAGCTGAAACCAGATGGTCTTAGAGGGTTCAAGATCACTGAGTTGTCAGGTCTTCACACAAATAAATGGGAAGGACAGAAGTCTCCATGTTTCCTGATGCATTGGGTATATCAACATGATGCCCAAACACCAGGTCTGTTTAGGGTAAAACCGCAATAATTGTAGATGTCAGCTAAACTCTCCATTTAGCTGACATCTGCAATTATGTATTGTTTTGGCAATGTATCAATACAGAAATGCTTCCACATAGCCAGACTGCCTTACAGCTAGAGTTGTAGTTAGAATGATGATTTAATGATTATGAGAGTAATATGTATTGCAGTGTAAGAAATTTGGAAAATTACAGGAAGTATAATGAGAACTTCAAACACTCATAATCCCTAGAACTGCATTTTTAACAGCCTCAACCAAGTAAATGACATTGTGATCAAATGATTTCCCACAGAAGCAGGCAATGGCCGAGAGGGGCCTCCCCCACAAAAGTCCTAAATATTAAAGCCCCATTATTACATCTCTAGTAAATGCAGCTCCAAGCCTGGACTTGAAAGTAGCATGGGCCCCTATTGAGAGCATGGGAACTGCAGCCTATCAACTAGACAGTTTATAAACTGTGACAGTGCTTTCATGTCTAATTTTTATTGGGCTACTCTCGATTTCTTCATCTACAGATTATCCACTGTGAAAAATGCTCCTTAACATTTCTGCCCTACTTTGAAATCTGCAGGTGAAAGATATTAGACAAGAAGGCTTAGCCCTTTGCTTTCAGTGAGATTAAGTGGGTGACCTAGATCTTTACTTCTTTAGAAATGCATGTGGGAGTCAATAGTGCACAGTATTCTGGAGAATGGACTAGGACCTGAAAGTTCTGGGTTCAAATTCAGCCAATGCCTCTTACTAGTCATTTTCTCAATCTGTAAACAGAGATGATAATAGTACCTACTTCACAGGGTTTCTCTGAGCCTTTAATAAGAAAGTGTATATAAAACACTGAGCACAGTGTTTGGAACACAGAGTGTATGCAGAAAATGGTACCATCATGATGATTATCAATGATAATAACAAAACTTAGCCACTTTGGAGTGTGGCTACCTTCAGGACAGAAACAAATATATGTCCTTTTGCTCGTCTTTTAGATGAATTGGTCTCTGTGCAAATCCTGAGTGCTAAAGTTTCCAACAAGACTGATGCTAGCTTGTGTCACCATGAAGATGCTACATCATGCCAAGTGTTGCCAGCGCCTAACAATTTTTGGTTCTGTGAGGGCATTGCATAAAGATAATAGAAGAGCAACCCCTCAGAATTTTTCCAACTATGAATCCATGAAACAGGACTTCAAACTGGAGATTCCAGAGTATTTCAACTTTGCTAAAGATGTCCTGGACCAATGGACTAATATGGAAAAGGTATGGGGGAAAGGCCAGACCACAATTTCTCAACTGGGAGTGATTTTACCCCTAGGTAACATCTCTAATGTCTGGAAATATTTTTGTTGCCATGATAGGGGCAGAGGCAGTTGCTACTGGCATCTAACAAGTAAAAGCCAGAGATTCTGTTAAATATCCCATAATGCACAGGGCAGCCTCCAGAACAAAGAATTATTTGACCTGAAATGTCAATAGTCCCATGGTTAGTTGAGAGACCCTGGATTACATAAATGTAGAATTCTAGGTTGACTTTAAAAAATAAATAAATAAATAAAAAGGAGAAGAGTGAAAAGTAATTCCGAGAGTCAGAAATGGTAGAAAAGGAGGCACAGAAAAATCTTTGGGGAAAATATAAAGGATGCAAGAATTCTCACTTATTGGAAAGAAAAATGATCAGGCTAAATGGGAAATGATTTGGGCCAAAAGAAATGACATGGCTTCCAATGTCTAGAAATAAGGACCCCAAGTTATTATTTTTCCTGTTATTTTTAGTTATGTAATAATTATACATAGTTATGGGGTACAGAGATATTTTTTGATACATGTATAAAATGTGTAGTGATCAAATCAGGGTAATTAGACTACCCGTCATCTCAAACATGCATCATTTCTTTGTGCTGGGAGCATTCAAAATCCTCTCTCCTAGCTTTTTGAACATATACAATAAATTATTCTTAACTGTTTTCACTCTACAGTGCTATAGAACAGTAGAACTCATTCCTCCCATCTAGCTATAATTTTGCATCCCTTACCCAACCTCTTTCTATCCTCCTCTCCCCACTACCCTTCTCAGCCTCTAATAGCCACAATTCCACTCTCTACTTCTATGAGCTCTTTTCAGGCTGGAGTGCAGTGGTGTGATCTCAGCCCACTACAACCTCCGCCTCAAGGGTTCAAGCGATTCTCGTGCCTCAGCCTTCGGAGTAGCTGGGACTACAGGCACCTGCCACCATGCCAGCTAATTTTTGTATTTTTAGTAGAGACAGGGTTTTGCCATGTTAGCCAGGCTGACCTTGAACTCCTGGTCTCAAGTGATCTGCCCACCTTGGCCTTCCAAAACGCTGGCATTACAGGTGTGAGCCACCCATCGCACTGGGCCGAGCTCCTTTTTTTAAAATTTTTTTTTATTTTTTATTTTTTTAAGAGACAGTGTCTTACTCTGTTGCCCAGGCTGAAGTTCAGTGAAGCTCATTTTTTTAAGCTCCCACATATGAGTAAGAACATGTGGCATTTATCTTTCCATGTCTGACTTATTTCACTTAACATAATGTCCTCCAACTTCATACATATGGCCACAAATAACCGAATTTCATTCTTTTTTATGGCTGAATAGTATTGCACTGTGTATATATACCACATTTTCTTTATCCATTCATCTGTTGATGGACACTTAAGTTGATTCCATATCTTGGCTATTATGTACAGTGCTACAATAAACATGGTAGTGCAGATATCTCTTTGATAGACTGATTTCCTTTCCTTTGAAAAAATACCCAGTGGTGAGATTGCTAAATCATATGGTAGTTCTATTTTTAGGTTTTTTAGAAGTCTTTGTATTGTTTTCTGCAATGGCGTACTAATTTATATTCTCACCAATAGTGTTTAAGAGTTCCCTTTTCTCCACATCCTCTCAAGCATTTGTTATCTTTTGTCTTTTTGGTAATAGCCATTCTAACTGGGTTAAGATCATATCTCATTGTGGTTTTGATTTGAACTACCCTGATGATTAATGATGTTGAGCACTTTTGCATATACTTGCTGCCAATTAGTATGTCTTTTGAGAAATGTCTATTCAGATTCTATGCCCATTTTTTAATTGAATTATTTGTTTGGTTTTTTGTTTGGTTGGTGGTGGTGGTTGTTTTTGGTGTTGGTTTATTTGCATTCCCTGTATATTCTGAATATTAATTCCTTGTCAGGTGACTAGTTCACAAATATTTTATCCCATTCTACATCCTGTCTCTTCTCTCTGTTGATTGCTTCCTTTACTGTTCAGAAGCTTTTTACCTCTATATAGTCCCATTTGTCTGTTTTTGTTTTTGTTGCCTGTGTTTTCATATCCTTATCCCTAAAATATTTGCTTAGAGGCGTCTCAGAGCCTACTCTGGCTCAGGAAGCTGCCTGAGTTTATTAAATGTATTATAAAATTTGTAAAAATTAAAAAATTAAAATTAAAATTAAAAATAAAACATTTGCTTAGATCAATGACTTGAAGCATTTGCGCTGTTTTCTTCAGTTGTTTTATAGTTTTGAGTCTTACATGTAAGTCTATAATCCAGTTTGAGTTGATTTTCGTATATGGTGAAAGATAGGGCTCTAGTCTTAGTCTACTGCATATGGATACCACTTTTCCTCGGACCATGTACTGAAGAGGATATCCTTTCCTCAGTGTATGTTCTTGGCACCTTTGTTGAAAATCTGTTCAATGTAAATGCATGGGTTTATTTCTGAGTTCTCTATTCTGTTTCATTGGTCTCTGCATCTGTTTTTATGCCAGTACCATGCTGTTTTGGTTACTATAGCTCTGTAGTGTGATTTGAAGTTAGGAAGTGTGGTGTCTTTGTCTAGTTTTGGTATCAGGGTAATGCTGACTGATAGAATGCACTAGGAAGAATTCCTTCTTCTTCAATTTTTAAAAAGATTTTCAGAAAAATTAATGGTAGGACTGGGAGTGGTGGCTCACGCCTGTAATCCCAGCACTTTGGGAGGCCGAGGCGGGCGGATCACCTGAGGTCAGGAGTTCAAGACCAGCCTGGCCAACATGGTTAAACGGTGTGGCTACTAAAAATACAAAAATTAGCTAGGCATGGTGGTGCATGCCTATAATCCCAGCTACTAGGGAGGCTGAGGTAGGAGAATCACTTTAACCTGGGAGGCAGAGGTTGCAGTGAACCAAGATCACACCATTGCACTCCAGCCTAGACCACAAGAATGAGACTCCATCTTGGCGTGAACCCGGGAGGCGGAGCTTGCAGTGAGCCGAGATCACGCCACTGCACTTCAGCCTGGGCGACAGAGCGTGACTCCGTCTCAAAAAAAAAAAAAAAAGATTTAGTGTTAGTTCTTTTTTAAAAGTTTGGTAGAATTCAGCAGTAAAGTCATCCAATTCTGGGCTTTTTATTACTGGTTCAATCTCATTACACATTATTGGTCTGTTCAGGTTTTCTGTCGTGGTAGGTTATGTGTGTCCAGGACTTTATCCATTTCCTCTGCGTTTTCCAATTTGCTGGCATATAGTTGTTCATAACAGTCTTTAATGATCCTTTGTATTTCTGTGGTACAGTTGTAATGTCTCCTTTTTCATTTCTGATTTTATTTATTTGGGTCTTCTCTCTTTTTTTCTTAATCTAACTAAAGATTTGTCTATTTTGTTTCTCTTCAAAAAAATTTGTTTTGTTGATCTTTTGTAATTTTTGCCTCAATTTCATTTATTTCTGCTCTGATCTTTATTATTTCTTTCTTTCTACTAATTTTGGGTCTAGTTTGTCGTTACTTTTCTTGTTCCTTGAGGTGCATTCTTAGATTGTTTATTTGAAATCTTTCTGCTTTTTTGATATAGGTGTTTATGGCTATAAACTTCCCTCTTAACACTGTGTTTGCTTTATCTCATTGATTTTGATATGTTTCCATTTTCATTATTTTCAAGAAATTTTTTGCTTTCCTTCTCAATTTCATCATCGACTCACTGGTCATTCAGGAGCATGTTGTTTAATTTCCATGTATGTGTACACTTTCCAAAGTTCCTCATTACTGATATCTAGGTTTATTCCCTTGTGGTCTAAGAACATACTTGGTATGATTTCAATTTTTAAAAATTTGTTGAAATTTGTTTTGTGCCCTAACATATGGTCTATTCTGGAGAATATGCCATGTGCTGATGAGAAGAAGAATGTGTATTCTGTAGCTCTTGGATAAAATGTTGTGTAAATATCTGTTAGGTCCATTTGGTCCAAAGTGCAGTATAAAATCAATGTTTCTTTGTTAATTTTCTGTCTAGATGATCCGTCTAATGCTGAGGGTGGAGTGTTAAAGTCCCAAACATTGTTGTATTGGAGTCTATCTGTTTACATCTAATGATATTTGCTTTACATATCTGGGTGCACTGATGTTGGGTGCATATATATTTGCAATTGTTATATCCTCTTGCTGAATTGATCTATTTATCATTATATAATGACCTTCTTTGCCTCTTTTTGTGTTTACTGACTTAAAGTCTATTTCATGTGATATAAACGTAGCTATTCCTGCACATTTTTGGTTTCTATTTGTTTGAAATATTATTTTCCATCTCTTCATTTCCTATGTATATCTTTTTTTTTTTTTTTTTTTTTTTTTTTTTGACAGAGTCTCACTCTGTTGCCAGGCTGGAGTGCAGTGGCGTGATCTCAGCTCACTGCAACCTCCGCCTCCCGGATTCAAGTGATTCTACTGCCTCAGCCTCCCAAGTAGGTGGGACTACAGGTGCATGCCATCATGCCCAGCTAATTTTTGTGTTTTTAGTAGAGACAGGTTTCACCATGTTGGCCAGGATAGTCTCAGTCTCTTGACTTCGTGTTCCCCACTCCTCGGCCTCCCAAAGTGCTGGGATTACAGGCATGAGCCACCGCGCCTGGCCCTATCTATGTGTATCTTTATAGGTGAAGTGAGTTTCTTGTAGGCAGCCTATAGTTGGGTCTTGTTTTTTATCCATTCAGTCAGTCCATACAGTCCATATCTTTTAACTGGGGAATTTAAACTGTTTACATTCAAGATTGTTATTGATAGGTGTTATTTTGTTCATCATGAGGGTGCCAGCAGTGGCTCCAGTGGGTCCCAGGCAGGCTGATTCTCAGGTTCCCAGGTGGTGTTCATGGGCACTGGCAGTAGCGGTGATAAGCCTCAAGTGAGTCAGACCTCAGGTCCTTTGGCAGTGCACATGGATACTTGTAGTAGTGGCGGCCTGAATGGGCCAGTCCTTGGGTCCCCAGATGGCAATGCAGGCACAAAGCGGCTCTGCCACGAGAGGGGGCAAGATCGTATTCGTGGCAGCAGGCTCAGGAAGGTAGCTGTCAGGCTCTGGGGAGTGTGCTTTAGTGCCTTATGTCCTGGGGCAGCCTCCCTGATGTGCTGGACTGCCTGTTCCCTGGGGTGTAGAGTGCTGTGTGTAGGCTCGGGTGCCAGTGGCCTGGCCGTATCACTGGATCCACCTGGTGTTGGAATGCTGCAGCCCTCTAGGGGAATGTGTGGAGATGTCAGCAAGGCCCCAGGGATGTGGAGATGCAGGGGCTATTGGCCCCAGGGCAAGATGTAGTATGATGGTAGCTCTGTTCCTAAAATGATGCCATGCTGTAGCAGCTCGGATCCTGGGGTTTCTTGCAGGGGGACCTGGTATGAACTTCCTCTCTGGAACAGTGTTATACTATACTAGTGTACTATACTCTACAGTGTTCACTAGGCTCAGGGCCTGTGAGGACAGAGGGGCTCTCCTGTAGGTGGTTTTTCAGGCATCTGTGATGGGAATGTGGACTGCTGAGGATCTTCCACTTACATTTTCCCCAAAATAGGGAGTCCCTCTGGATTCTGTGCTGATCCTGGCCAGCTGCTGTTCTTCCCTCTCTATACTTTCATCTCTAGTTTTCAGGTCTCAGACAGTTTTGTCACTTCCTTGCTAAATTCCAGTGTTATCCTTTGACATTCTATTTGTCATGTGGTTATCTGCTCACTGTCTTGGTCCTTCTGGTAGGAGGTTAGTACTGGGCATCTCTAGTCATCCATCTGGATGGTGTCTCCCCCAGAGTTATTTCCAAATACTCCATCCATATTCTAACTAATGATTTGTGAATTTTCTTCAGCTAATCTATTCCATTGAGTCAGTTGGCCCAGAATTTAGCTGTATAACGACCTTTAAATCCGTGACTGGTTTGTCTTTCCTCAGGCTGGAAAGAAACCTTCAAATCCAGCCTTCTGGTGGATCAATGGAAAAGGAGAAGAGGTGCGATGGAGTTTTGAGGAACTGGGATCTCTGTCCAGAAAATTTGCCAATATACTTTCAGAAGCCTGTTCCCTACAAAGAGGAGATCGGGTAATTCTGATTCTACCCAGGGTCCCAGAGTGGTGGCTTGCAAATGTGGCCTGTCTGCGAACAGGTTAGTAATGTTTGCTTTCTGATCATATTTAATACTAAGCTGGATGGGAGATTTTCCAGAACACCTAAGTAATCATGATACATTGATTCTGGAGTGGGCCTATTGTCACAGAGTGCCTTTAAATTGTATGAAAGTGTTAGGCCATAGTAGGCTAATTCCTTATCCCTAGATGGAACATCTTTAAAAGATAACCTTAGCGTTACAGCCTCACAAAAATTGTTGTGTTACCCTGATTAGAAAAAAAAAAAAAAAGATATTCTAAAGAACCTGTTTTCTGGTCCTGGTTGTCGGTTTCTTGAAGAACCCTGCTGGAGAGGACTGGTCCTTCCCAAAGTGAAATGATGAGCCAGTGTCAAGAGTCCAGGAATGGCAGACATGTGTTCCCCAATTGTCTTGCCTCCTGTGTCACCTGGGAAGAGCAAAACCTATTGTGAAGTGAATGCTTTCCATCCCTCTCTTAAGGGTCTGGGACTTAAGGGTGGCGGGGCCCAGGAGGATGATCTATATATTTTTGAGAGTCCATTTATCCTTTGAGAAAATAATACCCAAAGCTTACTGAGCACGGTTCTAAGTTCTTTACATGTTTTAACTCATTTAATCCCCTAATTATCCTGTAAGAGAAGTACTATTATTGTCATATCGTTTTACAGATGCAGAACCTGAAGCTCACAGAGGTGAAGTGGCTTGTCCCAAGTCCCAGCTATAAGAGTGTCTGGTTCTAGGACACTCTTAATCCTTATACTTCATCTTACAGTATAATATACAACCAGCAGGAATAGAACCACAGAAAAGATGAATGCCTCCACCTGTCCTTTTGGAAAGAAATCATAAAGCAATCATATACGTTTTAAGAGGCACTAAGCTGAAGTGGTGAAGTGTACAGTTCTGGAGTCAGGCTACAGGGTTCAGTTCCTGCACTGTCACTTACTACTTAAGTGATATCTTGGGCAAGTTATTCATAGTTTTTATGTTTGGGGATTTTTTTTGGTGGGGACTGAATGAGTTAAAACATATAATCAAATAATAAATATTGGTTAATATTACTTTTCAATCAAAACCTTCTTCAAGCTCAAAGTTATGGATGGTCTTCAAATAAAGAATAATTATCCAGTATTTAACATGCTTTCATGTTAGGCCAAAAGGGTCATAGACTCTGAAATCCCTTGAAAGGCAAAAGCAGATAAGTGGAAGTAAGATAAATAGATACCTTCCTGGTAAACTGACTAACTCATTCTGAGAAATACAGAATGTGTAGATGGTATCTACACTACTATAACATAATGAAGCCTTTCTTCTAAACACTGTTTCTTTTCTGCCCCTTTAGGGACAGTTTTAATTCCAGGAACCACTCAGCTGACCCAGAAAGACATTCTCTACAGACTACAGTCTTCAAAAGCAAACTGCATCATCACCAATGATGTTTTAGCCCCAGCAGTAGATGCTATTGCACCCAAATGTGAAAATCTGCACTCCAAGCTGATTGTATCAGAGAACTCCAGAGAGGGGTGGGGGAACCTTAAGGAGATGATGAAGTGAGTAGCCATGCTTATTGTAGAACAGCTTCCCAAAAGGAAAGGCAAAAATAAAAAGATATTAAACCTAGTAGTGATTAGAAAAATGCAAATTAAAACAACAGGCAAAGAGAACAGTTGGTAGTTGTTGCTGCATTAATAGTACTAAACTCTGAAGTAGGAAGGAGCTTGGAGTGCTTTTTGTATGTTGGGATCCCCTGAGATGGAGATTGGTGTATAGGAAGTTTATTAAGGAGTTCTTTTGGGATTAACACCTGTGAAGGATGGGTAAGAATGTAGGATTGGTGCCGGGCGCGGTGGCTCACGCCTGTAATCCCAGCACTTTGGGAGGCCGAGGCGGGTGGATCACAAGGTCAGGAGATCGAGACCATGGTGAAACCCCGTCTCTACTAAAAATAGAAAAAATTAGCCGGGCGCGGTGGCGGGCGCCTGTAGTCCCAGCTACTCAGGAGGCTGAGGCAGGAGAATGGCATGAACCCGGGAGGCGGAGCTTGCAGTGAGCCGAGATTGCGCCACTGCACTCCAGCCTGGGCGACAGACCGAGACTCTGTCTCAAAAAAAAAAAAAAAAAAAAAAAAAAAAAAAGAATGTAGGATTGGGCAGAGAAAGAAATTTATTTGCGATGTATTCCCTGCAAAGCCTTCAGTCAACCCTCTGGGACCTCTGAAGGTTGCACAGCTCCTCAAAGCTGTTCCCAGCTAAAGCAAGAGGTCCTGGACTTTATACACCCACATTGATCAGTAACTGAATGTGGGTTGTCCCTAGGAGTCAAGACCTTTAACAAAGCAGCTCTCTTCAGTCAAGGCAATCTCTAAAGAGGGCTCCCACAACACCTGTGGGGATTAAGACCTTCATTCCTGCAGAGGGCTCTTGGAAGTGCAACACAGCATCAATCACAGAGCTGTTATGATCTCCCAGGGAAACTGATCACAGTCAGTCCTTCAGTGTTGGCTATCCCATTCCCTTGCTGACAGCAACACTGGTATCAGGTTAAAATAAGAAAAATGCTTAATGTTAATGGATGCAATTATAAAACTGAATTTCACTGATGCTGAAGCCTAGCATGGAGTGCTTCCATGGGTTACTTGGAACTCTTGCCAGGTACTGGTTAATTCTTAGAATTGGGCTGGCAGCAAAGTCCTTCTCTAGAATGAGCTTCCTACTTTTACTCAAGGATTTGGGAGCATGCTTGCAACTATGGACTTTTTCCTACCGCATTTAAAATTGCTAATACCGAGTTCTTGCCAAAGGCCAAGTACTGTTCTAATAAAAATAACATTATAATTGCAATCATAGCTTATATTGATATGGTTATGTGCCAGAAACTATTCTAAGGACTTCAGATATATTACTTCATGTAAACCTCACAGCAACCTAGGTACTACGATTATACGCTGAATAAGGTCAAATGCTCGTACCTGGCAGAGCTAACTTTCAAACCCAGGCAGTATGGGTGCTGAGCCTACACTCCTCACTTCTGTATGTACTGCCTCTACTAAGAGATCAGTACGATAACCCTGCCTCAGGTTTTGAGGGCAACAGTATCGGTGATGGAAGTGATAGGAACACAGCTATAGATACCATTTTTTTTTTTTAGACGGAGTCTTGCTCTGTTGCCCAGGCTGGAGTGCAGTGGTGCAATCTTGGCTTACTGCAACCTCCGCCTCCCAAGTTCAAGCAATTCTTCTGCCTCAGCCATCCAAGTAGCTGGGATTACAGGCATGTTCCACTATGCCCAGCTAATCTTTTGTATTTTTAGTAGAGACAGGGTTTCACTATGTTAGCCGGGATGGTCTCAATCTCCTGACCTCATGATCCACCCACCTCGGCCTTCCAAAGTGCTGGGATTACAGGTGTGAGCCACTTCGCCTGGCCTATAGACACTATTTTTAATTAACTGAGATAATTTTGAAATCATAGACTGAACACTTGGTGTAGCTTTGTCAGGTTTTGAAAACAGCTTTTCAGCCAGGCGCAGTGGCTGATACTCATAAATCATCACTTTAGGAGGCTGAGGTGGGATGATAGTTTGAGTCCAGGAGTTCAAGACCAGTTTGGGAAACATAGTGAAACCTCTTCTCTACATAAATAAGAATAATTAGCCAGGCATGATGATGCACGTCTGTAGTCCCAGCCTACTTGGGAGGCTGAGGTAGGAAGATTGCTTGAACCCAGGAGGTCAAGGCTGCAATGAGCTGTTGATTGAGCCACTGCACTCCAGCCTGGGTGAGAGACAGAGACCCTGTCCAAAAAAAAAAAAAAGGAAGGAAGGAAGGAAGAAAAGAAAATAGCTTTTCTATATTTCTCATGAATGGCCTGGAATGGCCTTTTTGTTTCTACTCACTGTCATCCCCACATGCCTGGATAAATCCGTGTGCATCTTAGACACTTGATATGTATGTGTGCAGCTGCCCTAATGTGTGATTTGTATAGAAGTCTGATTATCCTTTGGAACTAAAAGGTTTTCTTTCTCTTTAACTGGAATTCTTTCTTCCCTGGATGGATGGTTAGATCCTGTTCAATGTTATTGTCTACTATATCCAGAGAGTCTATATATGTAGACTCCCTTGTGGGAAACAGAAAAACCATCCTTTCATAGTTGGCAAACTTTTTTTTTTTTTTTTTTTGAGCCAGAGTCTTGCTCTGTCACCCAGGCTGGAGTACAGTGGCTCGATCTTGGCTCACTGCAACCTCCACCTCCCAGGTTTAAGCAATTCTCAGCCTCCTGAGTAGCTGGGATTACAGGTATGTGTCACTGTTCCTGGCTAATTTTTGTATTTTCAGTAGAGACAGGGTTTCGCCATTTTGGCCAGGCTGGTCTCGAACTCCTGACCTCAGGTAATTCACCCGCCTCAGCCTCCCAAAGTGCTGGGATTACAGGCGTGAGCCACCATGCCCACCCTCAGCAAACATTTTCTGTAAAAGGGACAGAGAATAAATACTTAAGGCCTTGTAGGCCATATAGTCAGTCTCATCACAGCTACTCAACTCTGCCATTGCAGTGTGAAAGCAACCACAGATAATACATCAATGAATAGGCAATAACATTTTACCTACAGAAACAAGAGGCAGGTCAGATTTTGCCAGTAGGCTGTAGTTCGTTGGCCCATCAGTACCCATGACTTTTACTAACATGTATTGTATTAACATACCCATTTTTAAAAATCACATTTTAAAGCATCTATAGGGGAGGGAAGGGGAAAATTCTTCCTTATCCATGATTGCGAGATCACAGACTCCTCACTCTGTGGGAGGTATGATAAAAATCTCAAGTTTTAAAAATGCTTCAATCCTTCTTGATCGTAGACTAAAAAGCTAGGAAAGCAGCTATTACAAAGCTTTTGATGACAAAGTTGAGTTTTGATTCTAGAAAGCCCCAAAAGGATAGAGAAAGTGATGGCTTTTACCCTGTAATTCAGGCTAACCCACTGGCACCTGATTCACGACATGAAGAGGTTCAAGTGGATAGCTTCTCAAAATGTTTCAGTGGTAACAGTCTATGATGCTGTGTTTAACATGCAGTCACTGTAGTTTTTCCTTTGCAGATGTGCCAGTGACAGCCACACCTGTGTGAAGACAAAACACAATGAGATCATGGCCATGTTCTTTACCAGTGGAACAAGTGGATATCCGAAAATGACTGCACATACCCACAGCAGTTTTGGCTTAGGATTATCTGTAAATGGAAGGTATACTTCCACAGAAGTGCAACTTGAAGTGTCAAAACTGCAAAGATGATGACTTATGTCCTGGTCTTTTATATTTACTTTCCTATGTACATCAGGGCTACTCTTTGTTTTCCCAGGTTCTGGCTAGATTTAACACCCTCAGATGTGATGTGGAATACCTCAGATACGGGCTGGGCAAAGTCTGCCTGGAGTAGTGTTTTTTCTCCATGGATCCAGGGAGCATGTGTATTCGCACACCATTTACCCCGTTTTGAGCCAACTTCTGTCTTGCAAGTAAGCCAAAGCACAGGGAGGTCAATATTTAGAAATGCATTAAGCAGTATGGCTGACAGAACTGATGAATAAAGCAACTTGCAGAGATCAGAGTAGACAATATGATTTAAGATGTGTCACATCCAGAAAGTCAATAAGCCTGAAAAGATACAGTCAGCCCCCTCTGTATCTACAGGTTCTGCAGCCTCTGATTCTGCCAGCCACGTATTAAAAATATTTGGGAAGAAAAACAAAAAACCAAAATACAACAAATAAAAAAATGCAAATAAAAAATACCATGTAACAAATATATACATAGCATTTACATTGTTTTAGGCAGCATAAATAATCTAGAGATTTAAAGTTTACAGGAGGATATGCATAGGTTATATGCAAATACCACACAATTTTATATAAGGAACTTAAGCATTCCTGGAACCAATCCTGCAGACACTGAGGGATGATTCTACAAGAAAAGGTGAGAATGCATTTACATTAACATAAACAATGTTTAAATTGTGCTGCGCCAACCAAAGACATTTAAGCACTTGTTAAAGTATAATTAAAAAAAAAAAAAAAAAGTTGTAGTAAGACCAAGAGTTTGCTTTTTCTAAATTGCAGACACTCTCCAAGTACCCCATTACAGTCTTCTGTTCAGCAGCAACTGTATACCGAATGCTTGTACAGAATGATATGGCCAGGTAAGAAATGTTAGTAAATAGGCATTTAGTGGGCAGAGGAGAGAAGAGGAAGCTATAAAATAAAAGATCTTTCTGCCTGAAACATAGCTCCAAGCCAGTAGACACAGGATTTAGCAATCTCTTCTCTTCCTCTTTCTCCTTCTTGCCTGCATTCTGTAAATGATAATTACTGTGTCCAGGGCAGGCTCCCCCAAACAAGAAGAAAGTGAGAGTTCAGCTACATCTATAGCTCTAAGCCCAGTGGTTATGGGTAAGAAGATGGTAAATCTTTTGGATGATGGCTTTCTTTGGGCTGAGAAAATAGAGAACTTGCTTCTATTTGGAACCTTATCCCAGCAGATAGAAAAGAGGATTCAAATGCTGATTCCATTTGAAAGGGTGCATTGGTGATCCGAAAAGAAAAACAACCCCTGTTTCTCTTTGTTTTGTCTATTTGTTTGTTTTTTGTTTTGTTTTATTTCAATAGGGTTTTGGGGAACAGGTAGTGTTTGGTTACATGAATAAGTTCTTTAGTGGTGATTTCTGAGATTTTGGTGCACCCATCATGCAAGCAGTATACACTGTACCCAATGTGTAGTCTTTTATCCCTCACCCACCTCCCACCCTTTTCCCAGAGTCCCCACAGTCCATTATATCATTCTTATACTTTTGCATCCTCATAACTCAGCTCCCAGCAACCACTATTTTACTATATTCACAACACTCAATACTCCTGGTCTCCAGATGTAAGGGATCTTTTCCCACACATTGACCAATTCTCCAACATCAATATGACATTATCTCCCTGGAGGCAGCATCATATACCACAGGTTAATGACTCAGTCCCACAAGGCTGTTTCCCATTTCAAATGGTAATCACAAATCCAGGCTGTCAGCTGTGCATATGACCAAATGGCTATAAATCAGAGGTTCCCATGACCCTTCCTTGGGTTTAGTAATTTGTCATGATGGCTCACAGAATGCAGGAAAACACTTACTTACATTTCCCGGCTTATTATAAAAGATATGATAAAAGTTACAGATGAATAGCTAGCCAGATGAAGAGGTACATAGGGTGAGGTCCACAAGGTCCCAAATGCAGCAGCTTCTATCCCTGTGGAGTGGGGGTGCCCTACCTTTCCGGCACGTGGTGCTCTCCAAACCTCATATTTCAGGGATTTTTTTTTGGAGGCTCCATTATGTAGGCATGATTGATTATTAAGTCAATCTCCAGCTCCTCTCCTTTCCCTGAAGAATGGGGGTGAGGCTGAAAGTGCCAAGCTTCTATTCCTGGCTTGGCCTTTCTGGTGACCAACCCCTATATGGGAGCCCCATTGAGAATCACCTCATGAGAACAAAAGACAATTCTATCACCCAGGAAATTCCATGGAATTTAGAAGCTCTGTGTCAGGAACTACAGTCAAAGGCAAAATATTAGAACAAAAGATACTCCTAGCACACCCATCACTTGGGAAATTACAAAGGTTTTAGACGCTCTGGGCCAGGAACCCAGGATGAAGACCCAGTACAGGTTGAGTATCCCTTATCCAAAATGCTTGAGACCAGAAGTCTTTTGGATTTCAGATTGTTTTGGATTTTGGAATATTTGCATTACACTGGTTGGGCTGCCCTAATCCACAAACATGAAACCCGAAATCCTCCAATGAGTATTTCCTTTGAGCATCATGTCGGTGCTAAAAAAGTTTCAGATGTTGGAGCACTTTGGATTTAGAATTTTCAGATTAAAGATACTCAACATCTATGTATTTCTTGTTATAGCACATATCACGGGTAAATATATTTAAATTGATGTTATTTAATTATCGAATAGGAAATAATTCACCTGCCTTAAAAGTCAAAAGGTATAAAAAAATACACAGTGAAAGGGCTTGCTTCAAACCTTGTCCCCAGTGACCCAGTCCTCTTCCATGGAGGCAAACTGAGTTTCCAGTTTCTTGTCTATTCTCCCTGAAAATACACAAACTAATACACATGTGTTCTCCCCTTCTCTATTTTTTTTTTTTTTTTTGAGACGGAGTCTTGCTCTGTCGCCCAGGCTGGAGTGCAGTGGCACAATCTCAGCTCACTGCAACCTCTGCCTCCTGTTCAAGCAATTCTCCTGCCTCAGCCTCCTGAGCATCTAGGATTACAGGTGTGCACAACCATGCCTGGCTACTTTTTGTATTTTTGGTGGCGATGGGGTTCTGCCATGTTGGCCAGGCAGGTCTCGAACTCCTGACATCAGGTGATCCACCCGCCTCTGCCTCCCAAAGTGCTGGGATTACAGGCGTGAGCCACCACTCCTGGCCTCCCCTTCTCTATTATAAACATAAATGGGATCACAAGATTCAGTTCTGCACCTTGCTTTTTTCCCCTAACAATACATTCTGGCACTGTGTTGTGCAATATGGTAGCCACTAACCACAGATAGTTATTTCAATATAAATATTAATTAAATAAATTAAAAATTCAATCCCTCAGTTATACTAGTCCTGTTTCAAGTGTTCAATATTCATATAGGGCTACCATATACTGTAGTGGGTACAGTAGATTACAGAGTACTTCCATCATGACAGAAAGTTCTATTGGACAGCACTGTCCAAGAGCTTCCTCATTTTTTATAACTGCATAGTATTCCATTGTATAAATATCCCACCATCAGTTTAACCAAACAATTGGTAAACTTTTCATTGCTGATTTAAAGTGTTATCATGGTGCTTGCTTCAGCAGCACATACACTAAGATTGGAATGATACAGAGCAGATTACCATGGCCTCTGCATAAGGATGACATGCAAATTTTTGAAGCAGTCCATGAAAACATAAAAATGAAAACAAAATAAAATAAAATGTTATTATGGGGTACCTTCCCTAAGAACAGAATGACTTTCTTTGTAATAAATTACACCTCCACCCCAAAAAGGGGGGTGAAGAAAAACTATTATTTGGGATGTTCTAATATCATTCTATGATATTAGAATGATTTATCTTTTAATATTTTTATTTTTAATTTGTGTAGGTGCATAGTAGATGTATATATTTATGGGGTAAAATGGTTTGTTTTGTGCTAGGGAGAGGAATTAAAAAGCAGCTAAAACATTTTATATTGAAGTTCATAAGAAATAATCCTAATTTTCACTTCTCTCCATTTTTCCTCCTAAATCTAACTTATCTGGTTTTCTGAGAAGCTATAAGTTTAAAAGCTTAAAGCACTGTGTAAGTGCTGGGGAACCAATCACCCCTGACGTGACTGAAAAATGGAGAAACAAGACGGGCCTAGATATCTACGAAGGATATGGACAGACTGAAACGGTACCTGACCTCACTGAAAAGACATAGCCGGACTCCATTTAGTCAGATGAATAAAAACCAAAGTGTCCACTGTCTCCTTACGATTATTTGAGTGATAAGAGTTGAGTGGTTAGAAAATGTTTAAAAAACAATGCTTGCAAGAACCTAATTGCAAAAAAGCTCTGTTAACAGATAGCTGTTTAAATAGCCATTCACTGACAAACACCACTGTTAATGGATCAGAATAAGGGCAATTACAATTTTTTTTTTAATGAAATAATACTGGATCTACTGAAAGAAAGAATTCCTCCCAATGTGATAGGGAAGTATCTTATTTAGAGCTGCCTCGAAACGGAAAATGCTGAGCTCCTTGCTGCCTGAAATATTAAGAGTTTGCTGGACAACTCCTTAGCAACAATACTCTAAAAAGGATTTTTTTTTTTTTTTTTTTTTTTTTTTGAGACGGAGTCTCGCTCTGTCGCCCAGGCTGGAGTGCAGTGGCCGGATCTCAGCTCACTGCAAGCTGCGCCTCCCAGGTTTACGCCATTTTCCTGCCTCAGCCTCCCGAGTAGCTGGGACTACAGGCGCCCACCACCTCGCCCGGCTAGTTTTTTGTATTTTTTTTTTAGTAGAGAAGGGGTTTCACCATGTTAGCCAGGATGGTCTCGATCTCCTGACCTCGTGATCCTTCCGTCTCGGCCTCCCAAAGTGCTGGGATTACAGCCTTGAGCCACCGCACCCGGCCTAAAAAGGGTTTTTTAAAGAGCTCATAGAGATAAGGAATAAGAAATTCTAGAGGAAACAAATGAAATAAGAACAAAAAAATGAAATAAGAATAAATAATGAAATGAGAAAAAAGAACAACAGTGGTTATTTTGTGCAAGAGGGAGGAGTAAGATGAAATAGATAAGAGAAAGGTTGAAAAAACTTTTCACAATGTGTCTTTATAATGCTTCAGTTTATGAACCATGATAATGTATCACCTGGTAAAAAATGAAAATATCAAAAATAAAAAACAAAAATTGAAAAATTCATGAACTAGAAATAGCATAGCAAGTATCATGCTAATACAAATGCAAATGTTAGCATACTCATGTTTTGATAAATATAGATATAGAGTAATTATTGTTATAACAATATTTTATACATATGCATGTATTTATATGTTGTTTATCACTACATTCCATGAGAGTATAGTGTTCATTTTGAGCTTAGTTCATAGTAAGTGTTCAATAAATAATTTGTTGAATGAATGCATGATAGATGAATAAATTTTAAGTGACTTGTAATGTTATCTTACTTTTTCTTCTTCTTCTTAACTAGGTGCTAATCTGTGGAAATTTTAAGGGAATGAAAATTAAACCTGGCTCAATGGGAAAACCTTCTCCTGCTTTTGATGTTAAGGTTTGCACATCCCCTTCCAGGAGAATGCTTAACAACCCAATCTCTACACTATCTACCTACCGCTTACCCCCATATAAACTCTCTTTGTTATGGTGGTGATTCCATTTTACTTCTATGATACTTTAATTTTTATTAATAGATGAAAATGAGTTAGAAATGTTAACTTATTGGTCTCCATTATTTTGCAGATACCTATATTGTACTATACAGTTCTAAGCATTTAATAAATGTTAACCCATTAGGCTGGACACAGTGGCTCACGCCTTTAATCCCAACACTTTGGGAGGCCGAGGCAGGAGCATCGCTTGAGCCCAGGAGTTCAAGAACAGCCTGGGCAACAATGTGAGACTTTGTCTCTACAAAAAAACATAAAAAACTAGCCAGGTGTGGTAGTATGTGCCTGTGGTCCCAGCTACTCAGAAGGCTGAGATGGGAGGATTGCTTGAGTCTGGGAGCTTGGGGCTGCAGTGAGCCATGATCACACTACTGCACTCCAACCTGGGCCACAGAGCAAGACTTTGTCTCTAAATAAATAAATATTAACCCATTGAATTTCCAGAAGAAACCCTATGAGAAGCATACTAATATTAGAACCATTTTACAAATGAGGCACAAAGAGGTAAAAGAACTTACCAGAGGTCACACAGCTAATAGCTGCTAGAGTTGGGCTTCAATCCCAAATAGTCTGGTTCCAATATCTGCACTCTAAACTACAACACAACACTGTCCTCTCAGGCGAGGTAGGTCAAGACCTTCTGAGGAGGTCAACTAGGCCCAAAGAGGCTTCAGTTTACAGTGGCTGCAGCACTTTCCCTCTCTGCTCCCAAGCCTGCCTGGCCATTTCCAGTCTTTCTGTATCCACTGCCATTGCTACCACTCGATGCCTAGGAGGCATTCCAATTCCCCATCAGCAAACTTTATATAGGGTTAAAATTGTTCTCTGATCAACCCAGCTTCAAAGCTGGGTGTAGCCAAAAGAACTTACACTAATTTAGATACTCCTTAACTTATGGTAGTGTTATGTCCCAAAATAAAGTCATCATAAGTTGAAAACATCCTAAGTCACAAATGCATGGCTGACTGGGAACTGTGACTTACTGTTGCTGCCCAGCATCTGGAGAGAAGGACGGTTTCAACTGAATGGTTATCTCTTTCACACCATTGTAAAGTTGGGAAATAGTAGGTTCAACCCATCTTAATTCAGCGACCCATCTGTATGTTAAGAGAGAGCAAAAGCAGCAAAAATATGGATGAATTAACAGAGTACAGCTCTTAGATAAATGTTTCCCAAGCTTATTTGATCATAAACATCATATGGATATGTATTAAAAATACTAATTATCAGGCCCCTGGAGAGACCAATTCAATAGATTTGGAGTGGGACTCTGGAATCTGAAATCTTGTGATTTTAACAAGCACCTCCAGGTCGTTTTTAGGATCAAGTAAGTTTGAGAGAGTTTAGATGAACTTCATTGCTGTTGTAACTCTTTATAGAATAAACCCAATCCTGGGTTCTTTCTCTCACTTTAACCTTGCTATGGGAACCTTGTCTCAAGATAGGATAGCCTAGTGGTTCAACTGTATCTCTGCTATTCACTAGCTGAGTGTCTGTGGGTACATTGTTAAAGCTCTCTAAGTTCCAGTTTCCTAATTTGTAAAGTTGGGACTAGAGGGACCAACCTGTCTGTTTGCCTGGGACTTATCTGGTTTTAGCACTTAAGGCAATACATCATGAAGAACCAATCCCCTACAACCCCTCACCACTTCAGTCCCCAGATGGTTGGTAACCCAAATAATAACAGAACTGATTTCATAGGTTTCTTGTGATGATTAAAGGAGACAATATGTTTAAAGAGCATATCAGAATGCTTAGTATGTAATGAAGATCCAAAAGATGGGTGCTGTTATTTACCTCTCCCTCACATTCCTCTTTGAAAAGCTTCTCTAAGAAAAATTGGTAGGAGAGCCCTAGTTGCATTCCATAAACAGGCTTAACAATAGTTTGTTGGTTTAACAGGCTACCTTAGGTTGAAGAAAGAAATATTGATAATTAAGCACGCTCATGTCTGCATTACAGGGAAGTTGATATGTAACACAGCAATGTTCTTTTTCTTCCTCCCTTAATAGCAATTCCCAATATGCATGGCTATCAGGGTCTTACAGGCACAGCTGTACTCACAGTGATCCCAACTGCAAGGTACCCCCACCTGTTCCACATTAAGTTGAGCCCAGTGGTTTTCTAGAGCAGCTATCTTTGAATGCAAATATGATGAGGCTGAGAGGAAAACAGTACTCTGCCTGCATCCCCACTCATTTTTAACTCTTTCCACGGGCCGTTATTACTGGGCTTCTTGTTCCTTAGCTAAGAGCATCTGCAGTAACATTCTGGCATCTGGGGATGTGTTCCAATAAGGTGAATATTCCTACAGCTTCAAAGCCCAAAGTTTATACTCTTCTTTGTTTGCTTTTAAATACTCATAATTTTCATGTATAAACATTTTAAGACCCTATGAACAATGAGGAACATGATTCTCCCCAGACACAGAAGATTTTTTCTATATTCCCATCTATTAAAATCTGTGATAAGTACCTGGAACTTTTAAAATACTTCCTTTCCGTCAATAATTCCTTCATACCTGGAACCACATATTTCTTTAGATCACTGGGTGGGAATTTATATTTTTTTTATTTGCAAGAGCTTAAAGAGAAGTTTTTACACTTAGAATTCCTTTGCCATTTAAGTTTCTCAATCAGCATATAAGCCCCTTTCCTTTTGGAAAGTGCTAGATAAGTATTATACTTATTCTCCATGCAGGCCACACCTCAGGTTTGAAGGTATCTGGAGAACATATATAAAAGCAGAATTTTGATACTTAGAAACAGCTAAAAGTCATTTAGAGCAAATTCTGATATATAAAATCAGCAATCAACTTGAGAAATGCTAATCTGATTTTTTTAAATTGGATTAAACTCTCTGGAGGCATTGCACAGAGGAATGTAATGATTAAAAGCATATGACCTGGAGTGTAAGTGGTGAGATTTGGATTCCAGCTCAGTCATGCACAGTGTTAAACTCTCTGCACCTCAGTTTCCTCATGTGTAAAATGGGCATAAAAGTTCTAACCATATAGGGCTACAGTAAGGAATAGGTACATGTAAAGTACTTAAAGGTTTAGCATTGATTACTTAGCATGTAGTAAGTACTTAATAAATGCTAGTTACTGTTAGACACTTCAGGGAATGATGAGGATTGGAGAGAGGGTAAGAGAGCAAGGCTGTGGCTTACTCAGCATTGTCAACCAGAGAATATTCCCCTTTTCCTGTTTACTTATATTGGGCTTCCGAAGTAAGGTTCTGTAGGTTCCACAGCTAAACAAAGTTTGAAAACCAGTAATGAAGACATTTATTTATCAAAAGGAAAAGATAGACCTAGTACTAAATGATAAAAACAGGTTGACAAAACTGTATATTACAAAGCAATCCTGTTTTTCTTTTTTTTCTTTTTTTTTGGAAATGGAGTTTCACTCGTTGCCCAGGCTGGAGTGCAATGGCATGATCTCGGCTCACTGCAACCTCCCCCTCCCGGGTTCAAGCAATTCTCCCGCTCAGCCTCCCAAGTGGCTGGGATTACAGGTGCCCGCTACCATGCCTGGCTAAGTTTTCTATTTTTAGTAGAGATGAGGTTTCACCATGTTGATCAGGCTGGTCTTGAACTGCTGACCTCAGGCGATCCACCCACCTCGGCCTCCAAAGTGCTGGGATTACAGGTGTGAGCCATCGCGCCCAGCCAGCAATCCTATTTTTCTATTTGTCTACATTGTCTCAAAGGATATTACCAAAATTAGATTATTGCTGGATGGTAAAATTAAAAAAAAAAATTTATCCTTATTTCACATGTTCATAACCTGTATTTAATATTTTATGCAATAATAATTTAAATAAATATATTTCTCTTAGGAATTTAAAGTATATTTAAAATGTTTTTTGGGCCAGGTGCAGTGGCTCATGCCTATAATCCCAGCACTTTGGGAGGCCAAGGCTGGAGTATCACTTGAAACTGGGAACCAGCCTGGGAAACATAACAAGACCCTCATCCCTACAAAAAATAAAAATAAACATTAGCTGAGCATAATGGCATGTGCTTATAGCCCCAGCTACTTGGGAAGCTGAGGTGTGAGGACTGTTTGAGACCAGGAGTTTGACGCTGCAGTGAGTTATAAGCTATGATTGCACCACTGCACTCCAGCCTGGGTGACAAAGTGAGACCTTGTCTCATACACACAAAATTTTTTTTTAAGTCTTCGTTTTTAAATGGCAAAAGCCAAAACAAACCTTGCAAAGTTAATATTTAAGCTGTGACATTAAACAAAAATTTCCTTAAATAAATCGTTCTATTTTATCCTAGATTGTAGATGTAAATGGCAATGTTCTACCTCCTGGACAAGAAGGAGATATTGGCATTCAAGTTCTACCTAACCGACCATTTGGCCTTTTTGCTCATTATGCAGTAAGTGACTTACTAAATAATCTCTTATTTTCTATTTTATTTCTCAAGTGCTTGGTAATGATCCCTGTTTGCCACAAAACATACCTAGGATAGATACTTGACCCTTTCTTGACAGATTGGTTGTCCTGAATAGTAATCCCAAAGACAAGAAATTGAAGAAATACCCAAATTCTTGCTGAAGAAAAGCATGCTGGTCTCCTGAGGCTAGATCACTGTTCCAGGTCCATGAAGGCAAGAGGAAGGGACCCTAGAAAGAAGATGGCCTCTTATCATCCCATGATCCTCTCATTTATCAAACAAAACCCGCTCATTTTCCTGAAATCCAAGTAGTGCTCTTTCTTTTCAGGAAGAGTGAGAGGGACAGGGGATGCGGGGGTGGTGGGATTAAGCAAATGTCTTTCACGAGAGGCTTTCTAAGCTCCTTACTGTTTGTAAGAATATTTTCATCTCTAATCACGGTATACAAATTAGAGCAAAGTCTCTATCATATAATAAAAGATCCAGATGCTACTTGCCCGTGTATTTTATATAATTTAACAGTATCTTGTTCATTTCTCTTATGTCAGACTTGCAGAACCAGTTCTATTATTGTGTAAAACAAAACAAAACACAAAAACAAAACAAACCTGTCTGCTCTTTATTAGGTGTCAGTGCTTTCTTTTGACTCCAAGTATTTACTTCTCTCTTTTCCTGCCAGCATTATATATTAATCAGTTAGCAAAAGACTTAATTTAGTTTACTCCTCTGAGCTCCTGCAATATTTATTTTGTAATCTAAGAAAAACCTTAAGATGGAAACATGCCTAATCTTTGTAACTGTAGTTTACCTTTCTTCTGTTGGGCTAGCTCCATGCTGGAATTTCATCCTTATTTTCACACTCTATCTCTTCCTAACTCTAATGCTTCTCAAAGGAGCCAAACTTTTCTGCTTCCTTGAACATTTAAAAATGCAACTAAGGGCTGGGAGTAGTGGCTCATGCCTGTAATCTCAGCACTTTGGGAGGCCAAGGTGGGCGGATCACTTGAGGTAAGGAGTTTAACACCAGCCTGGTCAACATGGGGAAACTCCATCTCTGCGAAAATATACAAAAATTAGCCAGGCGTGGTGGTGCACGTCTATAGTCCCAGCTACTTGGGAGGCTAAGGCAGGAGAATCGCTTGAACCCGGGAGGCAGAGGTTGCAGTGAGCCAGGATCGTACTACTGCACTCCAGCCTGGGTGATAGAATGAGACTCTGTCTCGGGGAGAAAAAAAAAAAAAATTCCAGTTGACCAGAGGAGTTGGATTCACAATAATAACAAAATGCTATTTGCTTTGCAGGATGATCCTTCAAAAACAGCTTCAACTCTACGAGGCAATTTCTATATCACTGGGGACAGAGGGTATATGGATGAAGATGGGTATTTTTGGTTTGTTGCAAGATCAGACGATATCATATTATCCTCTGGGTAATTTTCTTTTCCATATGTGCATATTGTCTGTGTTAACTGGTGATCAGTGTTCTAGAGTGAACCTGTCACTCACCTGTATATATTCCTGCCATGTGTGTTTCTAGTTATCGAATTGGACCATTTGAGGTAGAAAATGCCCTGAATGAACACCCTTCAGTTGCAGAGTCAGCTGTTGTCAGCAGCCCAGACCCCATCAGAGGAGAGGTAAAAGAACTGATTCATGTCAACTTTATAATTTGTTGGCAATTTAACACATACTTACGAACAGTAGCTCAATGAAACAGAATTAACCAAATGATTCATTCACTAAATATGCAAGTCAGATAGAAATACGCTAGTCAGAAAGAACTGCTACAAAATAAGATTGAATTATGAGTTGTAGCTCTGATCCTAACAGACAAACAAAATAAGGCTGAAAATATGTACTGGAAAGAATTTGAATTCCTTCCATGGTGGACTAGGGCAAAGATGGTGTGAATGTCAGGCTCACACCAGGATGGGGTGACCAAAGGCAGCTGGATAGGATAAAGTTGTTACCCAGAAGGTCTGGAAACCAACAAGGTCCCTGGTGTAGTGAGGGAGAATGGGCTGGCATCAGATGTCAGAAGTGGGAACCAGAGGCCAGAACTGAGGTAACCATAAGCAGTCTGGGTAGGTAAATAAGTAGAGGTTTCAGGAAGTAAACTCTGAATAACACCGGAGTCCTGAAAGCCCATTCCTATTGGGGCTGACCACACAGTATTTTGGCTTGAAAGTACCATGCCAGGCAGCCTCCTGTATTTTGCCTGTATGTCTACAACATGCCCCTAGGGTTTCTCTAGGCGAGTTACGAGTTCCCACAAGTATTTCTTCAATCCATGTCACTTCTAACACTGAACCCAAGTTTTGAAGATGATATTCATGTCACTACAAATCCAGAACTTTCTGTACCATGTATTCAAGCTCCTTATCTCAAATCCTAGGTATAGGGCTTCAAGCACAGGGCACAGGGCAGAGTTAGAAGGTATCCAATCTCAGGGATGAAATAGGTCCTCAAGTTTAAGGCAGGCTGGGCATGGTGGCTCACACCTGTAATCCTAGCACTTTGGGAGGCTGAGGTGGGTGGATCACCTGAGGTCAGGAGTTTGAGACTAGCCTGGTCAACATGGTGAAACCCTGTCTCCACTAAAAATACAAAAATTACCCAGGTATGGTGGCGCATGCCTGTAATCCCTGCTACTTGGGAGGCTGAGGCAGGAGAATCACTTGGACCCAGGACGGGGAGGTTGCAGTGAGCCAAGATTGTGCCACTGCGCTCCAGCCTGGGTAACAGAACGAGACTCCGTCTCAAAAAAATAAAAATAAAAAATAAAAAAGTTTAAGGTAAAAATGGGAGATGTGCATGTTACAGTGGAGGGTGGATCTCCCCCAGGAATGATTCCCCTAACTGATCTTTGATGCCAGAAGATACCCTGTAAGTCCTCCTGGATGGCCCAAAGTTGTTCCAGATATAGCCCAGTGGCTGGGAATTGGTAGTTTGTCAAGTTGCTAGGATAACAATCGCTATTTACTGTGAAAGGATATATTCCAGGCAGCTAAGGGCAGGGGAAATAATCAGTGATTACTGGCTTGTCTCTTTGCCCTGAACACCCCCGGCAAGGTTTCACGAGTCTTAGCTCTTCCTGTACCTCTCCCCTACCATCAGTCATCATCAGTTTTACCCACCTCAACAGTTGCTTACTTGGGACAGGATGGTAGCTGAGCCTTTCGGAACAGGGTTGGCTTGGCAGCCACTTGATGTCCTAGAGTACAGTATAGGAAAGATCTATAAGTGGGTTGTGGGCCCCTCACAGCTCTGGGGTCTTGGCATAGGGCTTGGATTAGTCAGAGTGAGGGGGAAAGTGTGGCCAGTTTCCCAACAGTGGTGGGCTGCAGCATTTCCTGGTAGAAGATGTGAGTGGGTGTCTCAAATGAGGTGTGCATGAACAAAACGGCCATGTGCTCCGTGCCTCCCTTTCTGCTGCCAGGCCTATTCTAGCTGGGTTAGGTCCTTCTCCAGGCTGGGTCTCGCCAGGCAGGGTAATTGGGTAGCAAGTTCCAGAATTGATTAAAAAGAATATTTGGATCTGAAATACCATTTTAACATTGGAATGTGAAATAAAGACTTGAGGAATATTTGTGTAGATCACTAGGTTCTTAAATTTTTGGGATCACATACCTCTTTGAGAATTTGAAGAAAACCATAGGCCACTGTTAAGACTTATGCAATGATGGAAATGTTCTATATTTGCACCATCCAATGTGATAGCCATGCATGGCTATCAATCACTTGAAATGTGGCTAGTGTGACTGAGAGTATTTAATCTTATTTAATTTTAATTGATTTAAATTGAAATAGCCACACGTGGCTAGTGGCTATCATATTGAATGGCACAGCCATAGACTTTTCTCAGAAAACTACAAGATTTTGCAGAATTTCAGAGAGATTTGAAGCCCATTTATGCATTCTGGGTTAAAAAATAAGACCCAGGCTGGGCGCAGTGGCTCAAGCCTGTAATCCCAGCACTTTGGGAGGCCGAGACGGGTGGATCACGAGGTCAGGAGATCGAGACCATCCTGGCTAACGTGGTGAAACCCCGTCTCTACTAAAAAAATACAAAAAACTAGCTGGGCGGGGTGGCGGGCGCCTGTAGTCCCAGCTACTCGGGAGCCTGAGGCAGGAGAATGGCGTGAACCCGGGAGGCGGAGCTTGCAGTGAGCTGAGATCTGGCCACTGCACTCCAGCCTGGGCAACAGAGCGAGACTCTGTCTCAAAAAAAAAAAAAAAGACCCAAACTTCTTGTAATTCTACGACTACAACTAAGAGCTAATGTTTTTGATGACTTACTATGTGCCTGGCATTATACATCTATGCTAATTCATTTAATCATCATAATCTCTTTTACAGAGAAGGAAACTGAGGCACAAAGAGATTACCTAACTTGTCCAACATTACATAACAAACTGTGACTTGAACCCAGCTGTTCTGACTTCAGAGTTCATATTCTTACCCATGTTAGGTTGTTCCTTGTTAATTTAACATTTTCTGTAGTAGTTTAAAAATATAAAGAAGACTTTATCCAAGTTGTAGGAATCGTCAATATGTGAACCAGTATTGCAGTTTTTAAAATAATTTACCTTTGAATGACTCACTTATAACAAGCATAATTTTTTAATTTGTAAAAATGTTGTTAATGCAGCATTATACAATTCTGACATTTTATAAAATGTCAAACAATGAATGGAACAAAATTATATCCATAGACACACACAGACACAAGGGTTCACAACTGCCCCATGATACATGTAAATTAAAAATGTTCAAGTGTTGTTGTTATTTTTTCCTTTTTTTTCTTAGAGACAAAGTCTCACTCTGTTGCCCAGGCTGCTCTCGAACTCCTGGGCTCAAGCAATCCTCCTACCTCGGCCTCCCAAATGTTGGGAGTACAGGCGTGACCCACTGCGCCTGGCCACAAGGGTTTCGGGTAAAGACAAAAATGGGTAATTGCTCATAAAATGTCAAATTGCCCACTAGTGAACAGTTTTCCATATGTGAAAAAAATTATAACTTCAAGTCTGTTTCTCACCAAATGGCTGTCCTAATTTGTTTCAAATAATTCCTTTTCAATCAAACCTTTACTCCCAGATCAGTGGATAGGAAATGTTGCCAGCTTATCTTTAAATAGGATTTCAGGCACTTAAGTGCAGGATATTTAATCATAAAAAAGCTTCAGGGGACTCTTCCGGAACTGTGCCTACAGGGAAGCATCATTCCATAGCCAGCTGTGGGCTGGTAATCTGGCTTTGGAGGTACATACTGGTTGATGCACCTAGACTCATGCCTCTAGGGAAGGCAGTAAATGGCAGTCCTGGTAGTGCCCTAGGAGAGAAAATGACAAGACTCCAAATTTACCTGAAAGGGGGCTATGAGGGATGGCCTATCTTTCTGTCTTCTCCATTACAGGTCCAAAAACTAGGCAGAGTTTTCAAAACATTTCTAGGAAGGATAAAATTTGGAGAACAGGATTTGTAAGCATAAAGTAATAATGTCTTTCTTGGCTTCTACTAGTTAAAGGCCACCATGATTTCTACTCTTGTTCCTAAGGACCATGGAAATGGATCAGAGCAATAAAAAAGTGGCTGCTGGAATCTTCACAGCCTTGTATAAAGACTGCATGTTCTCTGTGAACTGTTCCCTTCAACAAAGACATGGCAAACTTGGCGTGACTACTGTTTATAAGTAATCCCCATGCTGAGGGCTAGGCTGGACCAGGCTGGGTTGTTATAGGGGTCCCAGAGGCTCTCCTGTATTAGGTACAAACCAGGAAATGTGTGAATTAACTGGCTGGCTTAAGAGCACAGATCTGGGATCAAACTTTATTAAAACACACTGGCCCACCCCACCAGGCATGTAGATTCTCAGAGCAAGCACACAAGACATACTAAAACATACAAATGCATAACTCATTTTCCTGGTGTTTCAAATATTTATTTTAGGTAGTAAAGGCTTTTATTGTTCTAAATCCTGATTACAAGTCACATGATCAAGAACAACTAATAAAGGAGATTCAGGAGCATGTTAAAAAAACTACAGCACCTTACAAATATCCCAGAAAGGTAGGCATCCTAATTATAACAAATATTTGCTCAGTGTTATGGAAAATTTCAACTGTTTATTTTTACATTTTAATGAATATTTTCTTCACACATGCTACACCACATGTCCCAAACTGAACTGATGACATATGGGTAAAAATCAGAATCTTTGAGATTAAAATGAAACCCTGAACCTATTTTGTTTGATCCTTTGGCTTACTGGACTTGCAGTAAATACTTAATATCAAGACAAGTTTCCTAACAATACCCTTTTCCCTATTTTGGTTTTACCCAAAACCCATTCCAAAGACTATTCTAATTCTTCCACCTAGAATTCATAATCAAACTGCTATATAATTGGCTTTATGTAAAGATAAAAATTTCCAGGCTAATTTTCTTCCTCTTGATGCCAACAGGTAGAATTTATTCAAGAGCTGCCAAAGACTATCAGTGGGAAGACAAAAAGAAATGAACTGAGAAAGAAAGAATGGAAGACAATTTAAATTTGTTTCATTAATTACCATATCTATAAAACAAACATAGTATCTGTCAATCTCTAGAAACCACAGGATGATGGAGACGTGATAAAAACTGTGGTAGTATGCTTAGAAACTGTTGATTTTTTAAAATATCTTGTGGTTATGATATCAGAGGCTAAATTTTGAAATAAAATATTTGGCAAATTCCTCCACATTAGTGTCAATGTTCCTATCATTTCTTAATATAAAAATGTCATCAATTGCTGATTTTTAAATGTATAGTATAGAAGCAGTTTCTGAACTAAATCTCTGCTACATAGATTTTCAAACTTTAGTTGACTAATTATTTTGATATGTTGATATACAAATCAGAACCAATGTTCAAGCCGTGAAATAAAACTAAAGAACTTATAAAAGTTTTTAGAAAAATATAAAATATCAGAAGATTATGATAATTCTCAAAGTACAAGAATCTACCTGAAAATAGACCAGGGATTTTTATTAGTCACATTTTTTGCAAATAATTTAAAAATAGTTTAAAACTTGTTTCGGCCGGGCGCGGTGGCTCAAGCCTGTAATCCCAGCACTTTGGGAGGCCGAGGCGGGCGGATCACGAGGTCAGGAGATCGAGACCATCCTGGCTAACACGGTGAAACCCCGTCTCTACTAAAAATACAAAAAGAAATTAGCCGGGCGTGGTGGCGGGCGCCTGTAGTCCCAGCTACTCCGGAGGCTGAGGCAGGAGAATGGCGTGAACCCGGGAGGCGGAGCTTGCAGTGAGCCGAGATCGCGCCACTGCACTCCAGTCTGGGCGACAGAGCGAGACTCCGTCTCAAAAAAAAACAAAAACAAAACAAAAAAAAAACTTGTTTCAAGGTCTAACTATAAAAGAAGGATCATATACTATTGTTGCTTATTATATGTAATAAATACTGTTTACAAAAGATTACATTTGTGGTTCCTGAAGAAAGTATGATAAATTCAGTAAACATTAATATATAAAATAAAAATAAAATAGCGTAAGATGTTATAAGAATACTCATGTTTGGAAATTCAAGGAACAATTAGGATTCATACATGAAAGGTTATCAATTCCTCATTGAAGGCCTGAGTCTCAAAGAATTTTTGGTGGAAATACTTAAATTTCTGTCACAAATATGGCTCGTTTCTGGTGAATTAAATGTGACTCCCCCTGTGGAATGAGATGGAACCATGCTGTTGGCTCTTTCCTTTTGAAGTGTTTGTTCCCATTTGAAATAACCACAACATTTTCTGTTTTCTTGGTATTTCCCAATAGGGCAACAATAGAAGACTTTCCCGTGGTTTGGTCCATTATTAGAAACAACAAGTCTCTTAGATCTTCGACCACACTTGCATAAGGGAGGTGTCATTTTCCCACTCTTCCAAGGCTCTTGTAGGTTAACTGTAGAAGTTAATATAGGTGGGAGATGCTTCCAGGAAGAACTTCTTACTGAGGAGCAATCAGATGATGTAGGCTTTTCTTCATGAATAGTGAAGGGTTGTTTTTTTGCTGGTGGGAAAGCTTGGGAACTGCGTGGATTCCTTTTGGTACCACCTGAAAGAAGAGAATGTTTCCCCAAAACTAAAGGATGAGACATACTGGCATTAACTCTGTTGAAGGTACCTGATTTGTGTTCAGGTAACTTAAAGGCAGAAATATCTGAACCTGGATCTTTGGCTTCTTTTACATTATAAATAGTGGTGTGAGGACTCTTGTACACAATAGAGTTAGAAGTCTCAGATTTTTTAGGAGTTTCCTCTATGTCTCCAAAGTTTTCATGACTTGGCATTTCCAATTCTTTCAAAACCATTAATCCTTCTCCAGAATTAAATGAAATCTCTAAGTCTGAGTCACTAATGGGAACTGTACAGTCTATGTTTTTCTTAGGCTGAGACACTGGCAGTAAAACCACATCCTCCCAATCAGCCAACATAGGTAAACTGTCCAGAGTAGAGCTCATTTCCAAATCAGAAACATGATGAACAGTTGGAATGGTGGTAGAAACAAGTACCAATTCTGAACCAACTGTTGAAGACTTAAATTTGGTATTAAATGCAAGATGCTCATTTTTTCCTTGCTTTTGCATATAGATAGGTGAATTCAAGGTAGGAGACTGCAACTGCCCCAGAGAAGTAGAGGACTTAGTATTAAAAACAGATAAGCAACTTTTGACATTGTGAAGACTTGCTTTTACATTGTTCTTTACTTGTAATTGATCCTGTTGTGCCTTTATAGGAGAATTTGCACAAATTGACTTCATTTGAACTTTTTCATGAGGATTTATTGTATTTTTAGGCTCATTATTATATATGCTGGGACCCTGGATGCTAATGGTACAGGCAGACATTTCTTCAACTTGATTTATATTCAAATTTCTGGCCAGAATGCTGGAATTCTTAGTGGGAACCTATGATTCCACAGACAAATGCAATAGCTTTAGAAACTCTGCATTCATAATTTCTTCAGTATACAGTTTATGACAAAAAAAGGAAATGTCATTGATTTATAAATGACTGCACACATTAAATCTACATTTCAAAGAACGTATGACTGTTTATGAAGTTTGAGATGACAGAATAAAGAGGCAAGACACTACTAACCTTGTTCAACGATCTTGTAATTTTCATTACACAACCATCTCTGATCATTTTCCAAGCAAGAAGGGCAGTATTCCGAGAATCGTCCAACCCTGAGGATATAGATATCAAACACTGAATTTAGTGGTACTAGTACTATTTCCTTAGTACTAAAGAAATAACATTAAAAAAAAACACCACTTGTGCAGAAACTGGAACATAGTTTTAGTTTTATGACCCTCTACTAATTTTAATAATGATAAACTGGTCTTGGAAGTGGAAGGCTATGGCAGCATTACCAATGAAAGACAAGCTCATCCACATTTATAGAGGATATGAAAATGTATTAGACAATCTCCCAAAATGTGGCCAACGTTCCGTAGGAACCAGGATTTGTGAATAATCTAATAGTCTTGTTCAGTTTTTTCACTAGTCCATTCTATTATTTGAGCACTTGTTTAATCTCCATTTGATTTGGCTCTTTCTTTTCATTCTTTTTAGCAACTAGAAAGCCACTAGGTGGCAGTGTATCTTACAGTAGTTTATGAAAGTGGTAATTTGAAAGTCTTAGAAAACACAATGTGAATTGTTTAGGAGCTTTTTTTTTAGGCTGCAGATCTCCTTTACTAATGACATTACCAAAAAATGAAATTCATATGAAATATTTTTAAAAAGTCAAATGGCTTACATAATTTTTAATTTATACTAACCAGAATGTTCTCGTCCTGAGAATTCTATTCCTACTTCCTGCAAGGCACCACTTAATCCTTTTGGTTTTCTCCTATAGAAAAGCTAAACAAATAAAAAAAGATATATCTAAAAATATATTACTATTTTAAAGGCTATGTATTAACTACTTTTCATAATTTTTAGTTCTATTAGATTTAGAGTGTGCTCATTTTTTTGTGTGTTGTTTTTAAATACTTTAAGAAATGCACTTATGTGACCAGTGCAAAAGAAAATATCTTATTTGTAGAAACCCATGCCCATGTGTAGGATAACAGTTAATTATTTTTCAATAGAAAAAAGTAAACATGCCCCGATTTTTGACCGTTACCTTGTAAGTTGCTCTGAGATCAATCCAAGAATTTAAAAACACAGGTTTTAACAGCTGTTTTCTTTTACACTCATACTCCAGGCAAACCCCCAAGTCCCAGTCTGCATTAGGTACATTAAAATAGAACAAAGTCAACGATGCTAGCACTTTTTACCTATGCTGCCACCATTTACAAATAGAATGCTGTAAGATCATATAAAATAGAACAGTAAGATTTCATTGCTCTGCTAATATCTAAAAATTATTCACTTCATATAACTTACTATTAACAAGTTAGGATTGATGACTAAATTTCAAAATGATTTCTTAAACACCCAGTAAAACCTTATTTCAGAAAGAAGAGTAAGATGTTAAATTACAAGGACTATATTTTCTATATTCCAGGAAAATATTAATGTTATTGAGAAATGAAACATTTTGTAGTAACTGTAAACCAAATATGACTATCAATGCTATGCTATCAATAACACAGTATTGCTATCAATGACTATTAACAGCAATGCTCTAACACAGTCATACAAAAAACCTACTTTAAATGGCTCATTTTTTTTTCTTTTAAGTGTCAAAGCATAAAAGCAAAGGATGTTGAGCTGATGAAGACTCTAGAAAAGAGCATGATAAGAGTGTTCACTAAATCATCTTTGCTTAATTGATAATAGTGGAACTCTAAAAAGATTTTTTATTTTAAGTTCAGGCTTAATATTTTAAGGTATTCCAAAAGGTTAATTTAAAAAATACATATGAATTTACTTTTCTTGGCTAATATCTGCTAGGCATTTAAACTTTTCATCCTAGCCCAGAAGATTAACAAATATAATTCTAGGTTAGCAAGTATAAAACTAGAAAGAAAGAATCACACAGTGGTAATGCTACCCATTTGTGATTAATAGGTATAACTTATTTTTTACCTGACCAAGTAACAAATGCACATAATTTTACTTCAGAAGTAGAAGGCTCTGAAACCCCAGTAGCAAAAATAATGTTCTTCTGTTGCTGAATCTTATGAATCCATTTACAGAACTGAGATAAGCAAATCTTCAGAGGGACTCCTTCATCAACTTGAGCCTGAGTAGAGTCACAAAAGCTGAATTCAACAATCAAATTCCATGATTATTTAGCATGTTTTATAACTGTGGAGAAAGATTAATGGTTTTAAAAGAATCAGAAATGCCAAGTCATGAAAACACAGTGTACTGTGGGAAGATATAACAAAGTGGTTCTAACTGGAGAAGAGTTTATTTAGTGGAAAGAGGTAAAAACACATGGGAAAGAAATTATATAGAACCCACCAAGGTAAGAAAGATTAGATTGATAAAAACTAAAATCACAGAGAAATATGATCATTAAGCCCAGACTGACAGAAATGAAAGACAAATTTGAGTCACTTAATTTCCATAAAATCAATTTGATCCTCATTTTTATAACACTATTCTTCCTTTGCTTTTTATTTATTTATTTAATTAAAAAAAAAATTTTTTTTTGAGACGAGGTCTTGCTTTGTTGCCCAGGGTGGAGTGCAGTGGCAAGATCTCAGCTCACTGCAACCTCCACCTCCTGGGTTCAAGTGAGTCTCCTGCCTCAGCCTCCCAAGTAGTTGGAATCACAGGTGTGTAACACCATGCCTGGCTAATTTTTGTATTTTTGGTAGAGACGGGGTTTTGCCAAGTTGGCCAGGCTGGTCTCAAACTCCTGACCTCAGGTGATCCACCCACCTTGGCCTCCCAAAGTGCTGGGATTACAGGCATGTTCCTTTGCTTTTTAAATCGAGTCCTGAGGTGGCTCACGCCTATAATCCCAGCACCTTGGGAGGCCAAGGTGGGCAGATCATTTGAGGTCAGGAGTTCGAGACCAGCCTGGCCAACATGGCGAAACCCTGTCTCTACTAAAAATATAAAAATTAGCCAGGTGTGGTGGCATGTACCTATAGTCCCAGTTACTCAGGAAGCTGAGGCATGAGAATTGCTGGAACCCAGGAAGCAGAGGTTGCAATGAACTCAGCCACCTTACTCCAGCCTGGCCAACAGAGCATGACTTTGTCTGAAAAATAAATAAATAAATACATAAATCGAGTCTTGAATCTAGAATAACACTAATCTTATTTATTTATTTACTTATTTATTTATTTATTTTCAGAGACAAGGTCTGTTGCCCAGGATAGACTGAGATTATATCTCCCTGCAGCCTCAAACTCCTGGACTCAAGTGGTCCTCCCACCTCAGCCTCAGCCTCCCAAGTAGCTGGGACCACAGGCACATGCCACGAAGTCAGGCTAAATTTTCTTTTTTTTTTTTTTTTGTAGGGATGGAGTTCTCACTATGTTGTCTAGGTTGGTCTCAAACTCCTGGCCTCAAGCAATTCTCGAACAGCAGCCTGCAAAGTGCTGGGATTACAGGCATAAGCCATCATGCCTAACACTAAATAAATCTAATTCCAAATGGTATAATAGCTTTTATTTTCTTTTTGAAACTGACCTCTGAATTTGAAGATTTGCATCATACCTGCTTTATGCCTGTCAATTCCATGCAAAATTCTGAAAGAATTGGATGTTCCTGAGGTTGAACATAAGCCTGGAATTCAGATTCAATCTGTCCAGTTGATGTGTTCAGCAACACTGCTGGAAATTCAACTAAATGAAAGAATAATCAATTGACAGTTGAATAAATAATTTTTAAATTAATCCTGTAATCATCCTAAATTAAACATGTTACCATTTTAATTAAACAACCAGTTTTCAGTAAAAGCATACTAAAATGACCAAAGCAGTGTGCCATAAAGGTTATAATAAAGTTATGCTAAAGAATAAATCAAAATATTGAAGTCATACGCATGTTGTCTTAAAAGAAAACTCAATATAATTAAATATAAAAACCATATTGAATATAAAATTTACTTTTTTTGCAAAGGTTTTTTTTTTTTCAGTTTCTATGCCATTGAAGTGTTGTATGTAATATAAAACAACTATTTTATATAATAACACATTTAGGTATTTGGGATTTTGCTCTTCTTTATTCAACACAGGTTTTACATTAAATTACCAATGCACAGACCATCCTGTTTTCTTAAACTCTTGGCTGATTTATATCTATAAACTTTAAAGTGACTCATCTAGTGCCAGCTTTGGCCATTCGTAGCCCAGACTTACTTATTTCCTGGCTATGGTGGCGCTTCCCATCATTCCAGCATGTCGATTCAAAATCAATGACAATTAAGTAGTCAAACAACTGCTCTGCAAAAGATCAAGTTGTTCTTATGCTTTACCAGTGCTGAAAATGCAAAGCTACAAAACGCAAAGAAACTAAGCATACTACTCACTGGATTTGCTTCTTCCTAGGTTTCCATTTGCTGGAGCAATTGACTTTCTCCTAATTAATCCAAGCTGCCTAAAAATGTGAAGCAATCCAAATATGATCAACAAACTCATTCACACTCCTGTTTGAATAGGCTACCAGACTAATGGTACTGGGCAAGAATCTCATTATTTATTGTGACTGAGGGGAAATTGAACTGGACTTTGGGTTTACCTGCATAGGCCTCGAAAGTATATATTTGCAAATTAGGCTAATTTGTTGGTTTTGTTTTTGAGACAGGGTCTCGCTCTGTCACCTAGGTTGCAGTGCAGTGGTATGATCATTGCTCACTGCAGCCTTAGTCTCCTGGGCTCAAGCAATCCTCCCACCACAGTCTCCTGACTAAGACTATAGGCGCGTGCCACCATGGCCCACTAGCTTTAATTTTTTTTCTTCTTTTTTTGTAAAGACAGGGTCTCACTATGTTGCTCAGGCTCATCTCAAACTCCTGGGCTCCAGTGATCCTCCCACCTCAGCCTCTCAAAGTGCTGGGATTACAGGCCTAAGCCACTGTGTCCAGCCAATTTACACTAATTTTATGTTACCCTTATTTTATAGTAATACTGAGGAACTTATTTGAGTTCCTACAATCATTTGATTGTACAGGTAAAAATGCACTGAAAATCTTATTTTTCCCCCTGCATTTTTTAAGCTCTTGCTATGTGTACAGTGCTGTTTTAAGAAGACAAGACAATGTAGGACATGGTTCAGTCTTCCAGCTTAAAAATCTGGGTAAAGAAACAAAAGACAGGGCCAGATAAAGTGGTTCATGCCTGTAATCCCAGCACTCTGGGAGGCCAAGGCAGGTGGATTGCTTGAGTTTTAACTAGGCAGACACCTCCTATAGTTTTCTGTGTTTGAGAGAGGGAAGTGCCAGGATTTGGGAAAATAAATATCATTTATTAATTGCTTACTACATAGCAGGTACTAAACTAAGATGACAGCCTCCTTTAATCCTCAGCAAGTGTAGTAGCTAGAAACTTTTCCTACCTATATTTTATGGATGAGAAAACTGATTCTTAATTTGCCAAGGAACACAGCTTTGGTAATGTGAACCCAAGACTGTCCAATTCTGAAGCTCATGCTATTTGCTAATATATTACATCCTTCTAGTAATCAGAAATATGCACAGCACGTCCAGGAATCAGGGAGGACACAATGATTCATATTGTGAATTAAAAGGATCACTAGGCCAGGCACGGTGGCTCACACCTATAACCCCAGCACTTTGGGAGGCCTAGGCGGGTGGATCACCTGAGGTCGGGAGTTCGAGACCAGCCTGACCAACATAAAGAAACCCCGTGTCTACCAAAAATACAAAATTAGCCGGGCGTAGTGGCACAAGCCTGTAATCCCAGCTACTTGGGAGGCTGAGGCAGGAGAATCACTTGAACCCGAGAGGCAGAGGTTGTGGGGAGCTGAGATAGCACCAGAGCACTCCAGCCTAGGCAACAAGAGCAAAACTCCGTGTCAAAAAAAAATAAATAAATAAATAAAGATCACTAGAAAATGGGTTTGTAAAAAGTAAAGCAGAGGTTCCTCTTCAAAGACTTCCTTCCCCGTCTAATTAGGAATAAATAGTAACTTCTCTTAGAGCAAAATTTATTCAAAGACCTGTGATAACATTCTTAAATATCTGATAGCCATAATAATCAATGTATTTTATGTGCTTAGGTCCCACAATTTAGCCTAAATATTTGCCCTGGCATGCTTATACTGGTCCAATCAAACATTAGGTCATAGCCTGTTCCTCTTCCTTATTTGAAAGTGTTTCTACCTTTCTCAGCATTCCAACAAGTTACTTCCTCCTTCCTTTGTTCTCCTCTACCTTTGCCTCTTCTAAAAAGTACTAAGTTGCTAGTCAATCCGGACAAACACAGAATGTGAGGTCCCCTTCCAGCCAATGGAAACCAGACACAGCAGTAGGGTGGACGCGCCACGTTATAAATGACCCTGTCTCCTTTATTCAGTGCAGTCTCCTGGCAAAACTGCTGGCAAGTGTACCCTTTCTGCAGGAAGTAAAAATGACCTTACTAAATAAATTTAAGTTCAAGTTCTATTTCTTTACAGCACCGAGGAACGAACATTTCAAACAGGTTAAACACCTTGATGGGTTCAGTGTGGCCTGCCTGAGACCTCCAACTAGTCTGCAGGGCACTGTCGCGTCCAGTCGTTTCCCGAGGCCTAAAATGGGCAGGCACTGGCTCAAGGCCACACAGTCAAGACCCCAGGGTTTGTAGGCCTCCTCCTGTCACCCTCGGGTAGAAGGCGGCCCAAGGCTGAAGACCGAGGTCCAGGGAGGCGCCTTTCCAACCATGCCAGGGAGGGCAGGTCGCAGACGCCGGGGCTGCAGGTAATGGAGGCCGTCACCGCAGATGCCACCTGCCATGCCCTGCTCTGCCGCCCACGCCAGCGCCGAACCCGGAGCTACCCGCCCCCCACCCGTAACCCCCTCGAGTACCGCGCGAGCCGCTTCGTCGCCATTCCCAACACTCCCTGCTGTTCCAAGTCCAGCTGCCGGAAGTCGCTCGACTTCTACTTCCGGTCCGTTCAAACCGCCCGCGAGGCTGAGAGGGCGGTTGTTGTTGGCGGCTGTGGCTAAGGTGGGGACAGCCTCTGCTCTCCGCCCGGCGTCTCTTCTGCGTTTCCCGGGCTGGGAGGTGGGGGGAGTGGTTTTAGGAGGGGAAGCCGCTCGGCAGCACCTCCTTCTTTCTTTGCCAGGCAGACGCCCGTTTTAGCCGTTGGGGAACCGTTGGGAATCCGGTATCCGATGCGGACGGTAAAGCCGTTTGGGTTAGAGCGGCGCGGGTGTCCAGTCCGCGGAACGGGGAGATCGTTGGCACCTTTGCTTTTTTAGGGGGACGGGGATAGTTCGGTAAACTGAAAGCCGTCAAGCCCGTGCAGCTCTCCCGCTAGGAGGCGGCACGCGGGGGATAGGGGCGCTGGAGTTTCCCCAGCTCTAGCTGATCTTTCTCCACAGCCATGGAGCCAGAGAGGGAAGGGACCGAGAGACACCCCAGGAAGGTCAGGAAAAGGAGGCAGGCCCCAAACAAGCTGGTCGGGGCGGCTGAGGCGATGAAAGCCAGTTGGGATCTCGAGGAGAGTCAGCCCGAGGCCAAGGTGAGCAACGTGGAGCCCAAGCAGGCGGCCCGAGGCGGTTTGGAGCTCCCGGACTCTCGCCCAACCGCCGTCGGGTGCCCTGGATGCGGGCTGGGTCTCCGCCCTGGCCTCTCCGAACCTGATCCCTGATCATTAAAATAGGAATGAGTGTACAACCACCTTCCTGACACAAGGCTGTCATTGGCGGTTTAAAACTGGGATAGTGATAGTGAGTCGGCCGGGCACGGTGGCTCATGCCTGTAATCCCAGCACTTTGAGAGGTCAGGAGTTTGAGACCAGCCTGGCCAACATGGAGTAACCCCTGTCCCTACCAAACACACACACACACACACACACACACACAACTAGCCGGGCGTGGTGGTGGGCGCCTGTAATCCCACCTACTTGGGAGGCTGAGGCAGGAGAATCACTTGAACTCAGGAGCAGGAGGTTGCAATGAGCCGAGACCACACCATTGCACTCCAGCCTGGGCAACAAGAACGAAATTCCGTCTCAAAAAAATAAATAAATAAATAAACTAGGATAGTGGGCCGGGTGCAGTGGCTCACGCCTGTAATCCCAGCAATTTGGGAGGCCAAGGCGGGAGCATCATTAGAGGCCAGGAATTCGAGACCAGCTTGGGCAATATAACAAGGACTCCATCTCTTAAAAAAAAAAAAAAAAAAATGGCACAGTGCCTGGCGCATAATAGGAATGTTCGTCCAACAAATATTTGTTGCCATCTTCTCAGTGCCAAGAATTGTTCTATGTTCTAGCAGTATCCCGGGGCACAAAAATACAATTCCTTGCCCTCCTGCAGTTTACATTCCCGTAGGGCAGGGGTCCCCAACCCCCTGTGCACAGACTGGTGCCTGCCTGCCCATGGGGTCCCCAACCCACTGTCCACAGCTGGCCTGTTAGGAACCGGGCCACAAAGCAACAGGAGGTGAGCGGTGGGCGAGCAAATATTACCGACTTAGCTCCACCTAGGCATTAGATCTCATAGGAATGCCAACCCTATTGTGAGCCTTATTGTGAACTTCGCATACGAGGGTTCTAGGACTAATGATAAATGTAATGCACTTGAATCATCCCGAAACCATCCCCCCAGCCCTTCTCCCAGTGGGTGGAAAGATTGTCTAATACAAAACCGGTCCCTCGTGCCAACGGTTGGGGACCACTGCAGTAGAGGAATAAAAAGGCTGATTATCGGCCGGGCGCAGTGGCTCACGCCTGTAATCCCACCACTTTGGGAGGCCGAGGCGGGCGGATCACGAGGTCAGGAGATCGAGATCATCCTGGCAAACACGGTGAAACCCCGTCTCTACTAAAAATACAAAAAAAAAAAAAAAAAAAAATTAGCCGGGCGTGGTGGCAGAGGCCTGTAGTCCCAGCTTCTCGGGAGGCTGAAGCAGGAGAATGGCGTGAACCCGGGAGGCGGCGGAGCTAGCAGTGAGCGGAGATCGGGCCACTGCACTCCAGCCTGGGCGACAGAGCGAGACTCCGTCTCAAAAAAAAAAAAAAAAAAAAAAAAAAGCGTGATTATCGCTATCATACCCTTCCATTTATTGAGAACTAAATATACTTCATCCCTTTAGTCGTTCATTGGGCTTTTTTGTTTGTTTTTGTGTTTGAGACAGGGTCTTTGCTCTGCTGGACTCAGGCTGGACTACAGTGGTGCGACAAGGATCCTCCTGTCTCTGCCTCTTATAGGCATGAGCCACTGCACCCAGCCATTCATTGGTTTTTATTGTCTGCCATGTGCTGGGGCACTGACCTAGGTGCTTGGGGTACATCAGTGAATAAAGTTCACTGCCCTAGTAGGTCTTATATTCTAGTGGGCAGAGACAAGTGATAAAAATAAGTTATATAATATGTGAGAGCGGGATTAGGGATGTGATTTTTTTTTTTTTTTTTTTTTTTTTTTTGAGGTAGTCTCACTGTTGCCCAGGCTGGACTTAGCTCACTGCAACTTCCGCCTACCAGGTTGAAGTGATCCTCTCACCTCAGTTCCACCAATTAGATAGGATTACAGACGTGTGCCACTGCACCAGCTAATTTTTCTTTTTTTGTAGAGACAGGGTTTTGCCATGTTGCCCAGGCTGGTCTTGAACTCTTGGACTTAAGCGATCTGTCCACCATGGCCTCTGCAAGTTCTGGAATTATAGACATGAGCAACTGTGCCTGGCCTTTTTTTTTTTTTTTTTTTTTTTAAAGAGCGACAGGGTCTCCAACTCCTGGGATCAAGAGATTCACCTGCCTCAGCCTCCCATAGTGCTGGGATTACAGGCATGAGCCACCGCACCCAGCTGAAAAATTTTTTTTTTTATTAAAGTGGGATTCCAGTTTTTTTGCCTATCGAATTTGCAAAAAAAGTTTAATGTTCATGTGGTAAGAAGTGTAAGGAGACTGACAATCACATATTTTGTTATGTTGAAACAATCTCAAACTTATAGAAAAACTGTAAGAACAGTATCAAAACCTCCCCTCAACCAACATTTGAAAGTAGTTGCTGACACAATGGTCTTTTTCCATCCACCGCCAAGATATCTTATTATATATTTTCCATAAACCTACATAATCACAGTGCAACCATCAAAATCAGGAAATTAACATGGATATATTATGACCATCTGCTCCTCAGATACCATCCAAGTTGTCTGTAGGTTGTTTGAATAAGACTGTTTTTAGCAATAAGATCCAGTCTAGAATTGTGTTAAATTTGTCATGTCTCCCTCAAACAGTTCCTTAGTCTTCCCTTGATATTCATGACTTTATTGCTTTTGAATAATCCTGGGCCAATTATTTTGTTGAATGTCCCTTAAATTAGATTTGTCTGTTTCTTCATTGATTAGATTCAGGTTATACACATCTTTAGCAGGAATATCACAAGAGTGATACTCTGCTCCCTTGCAGATTGTACACAATTTGATTTGTTCTGTTACTGGTGATATTAACCTTGATACCTCGATTAAGGTAGTTTCTACTAAACTTCTCTAAAGTTATCTTTTTCTTTTTGTAATTTTCATTCTTACTTATTTTTTTGAGACAGGATCTTGCTATATTGCCCAGGCTAGTCTGGAATTCCTGGGCTCAAACAGTCCTCCCACCTCAGCCTCAGTGTAGCTGAGATTACAGGCCCAAGCCACTGTTCCCAGCTCTCTTTGTAATGTCCTTCCTCAAACATTTTGGGCTTATGCATTTACTTTTTTATCAGTATGAACTCAATAGTACCTATTTTGTTCAGTGTGTTTCTATCTTTTACTGGATTGTGATGCTTTAAATATCCAAGATTTTGTCATTAAGCTAGCTTCTGTGGACTTTTGACATGACAACACCATTCTTTGGGCACATCATTACTTTCTGGCACAAAAAGATATTCCAGGCCCATATGTGCTTTCCCTGGTACCAGGTCATCTTCCTTTGTGAGCACCCTCATCCTATGACAGGTAGCTGCCACCATCCTCTCATGTTTATACCCTTATCCTGTTCAGGCTTTAAATCCTGCAACAGACCACTACTGTCCCTCAGCATTGATGCCCTCCTTACCCTAAATAGTTTCTGACATCTGATATCTGGCCTCACTGCCCTCCCTTCCTTCCTGTATGGGTGACCTCCTTGTGCTGCTGAGGCTTTGACACCCCACACCTGAGCACCCTCCTGCATGAATGTCCTGGTCTTCTGCTCCTAGTCCTGGACTGTCTCCTCTGCAGGACACCCTCACCCAACTCCGGCTCTTGACATCCCATGCCTGGCAACCAGGGTTACTCACCGCCCTATAGACTCCATCTTGCTCAGTCTCACCTTATTAATTTCATGTTTTTATTTGGTAAAAACAAACTGGCATATTCTTTCAAGAGTTCATTTGAACTGGCAATTGATCCTAAGAAAGTAATTAGATAGATGTACAAAGGTGTCTGTACAAGGATGTTCGTCATAATGTTGTTTGTAATTTAAAAAACAAAACAGTGTTATCAATAAGGAATTTTTTTCAGATATATTATAAATTTTCAGGTAAATTTAGAAAATGGACTATTATTCAAGTATTAAAATTGATGTGTTATTTTTTTTAAACTGATATGGAAAGATACTCACAGATTAAGTTCGGGAGTAGGGAGTTGGTTTCAAAAAAGAATGATAAAATCCACTGGGGGCTATATAGTATAGAGATAAGCCTGCATTCCAGTCTTGGTTCTGTCATCTGTCTGTTTCTCCAATTTATCCGTGAAATGGGGATAATAGTAGTACACACTTAAAAAGTTGTGAGAATTAAATTATTTAATGCATGTAAAGTGATCAGAACTGTGTCTGGCTAATATAAGAGTTTAACATTAACTTAAGACCATGGGAAGAAATTAGCAATAATATCTGATGTTTATTTATTTATTTATTTATTTTTACTTTTTTTTTTTTTTTTTGAGACGGAGTCTCGCTCTGTCGCCCAGGCTGGAGTGCAGTGGCGCGATCTCGGCTCACTGCAAGCTCCACCTCCCGGGTTCACGCCATTCTCCTGCCTCAGCCTCCCGAGTAGCTGGGACTACAGGCGCCCACAACCGCGCCCGGCTAATTTTTTTTGTATTTTTAGTAGAGACGGGGTTTCACCGTGGTCTCGATCTCCTGACCTTGTGATCCGCCCGCCTGGGCCTCCCAAAGTGCTGGGATTACAGGCGTGAGCCACCGCGCCCGGCCATCTGATGTTTATTAAGTACTTGTATCAGGCACTAGCCTCAGTACATTGTACTTGAACTATTTCATTCGTCCTCCCAATTATTTAATGAAATAAAATTATAATTACTCTCTAGATGAAGAAACTGAGTCCTAGAAAGGCTATGGCACTGGTCCAAGATGATAGAGCCTGGTGTTTGAACTCAGGTAGTATGACTCTAGGGCTTGAGCTTCTAATTGCTATACTCTGCTGCCTCGCAGACCAAAAGGAAAGTGGTGATTACCTTTGAGTTGTACTTTTATTTTAATTATCTCTGAGGTGACTTTTATTTTCATTTCTCTATTGTGTATCATTTAT